TGGGGAATGAGTCGGCTGCATACCCCTTTGTGGATTTGTGGACCTCTGACCCGTTCACCTTCAATATCGCCGGTGTTTGTGCGGTTCTCCCGGAAGACGGCCGGTGTTTGGAGTAAGCCGGAGATCTGTGGTATTCTGCGATGCATGCTAATTCCAACTGTCAGGTTCCTGGCGTTTTATCAAGATATCGGTGCAGTTTTATACCCAGTACTTTCAGACACTGCACAACTAGGACGACATACGAAACGACTTCTCGATAATCGACGACGAGCAGGGGGTGTTTATAAAGCCGATGCCAACGGATTAGTGAAACCATTCGGGATGCCGTTGGCTTTTCTCAGTCTCCTTTTTGCGGTTCTTGCATCGGGGTGCCAGCTGTCTGGCATCCCGGAAAGCGACCGTGAGTTGACCTCATGGGTATACGGTGCGTCGCATTCTAGGAAGGTCGGAAGTGCTGTACTGACTTTCTCCAGTCTCGTGTGCGTATCAATGTCTTCGAATGTTGAATTATGTCTCGCAACCCAGTGTCGAAGTAATTCAGATTCTTCTCATCATTAGCAATGTACTTTCATACAATATGAATGCAGGTGCATCATACACTTTGCTTGGTACGTGGGGGTGTTTCCAATGAGATGGTCAAGCTAACACAACATCAGGTATGACGGAGCGAATGTGTCTTGTCCTCGGGCTCCATGTTGAGTCGAGCGGGTTCTCACTCGCGGAGCAGGAAGTGCGAAGGCGCGTCTGGTAGGTAGCCAGTTTGCTCTTTTGGTTAATCTAAAGCTCACATTTCCTAGGTGGACCATGGCCTTTCAGAACAGCCATTTCTCACTTGCCTATGACCGACCGTCGATCACTATGGTCAGCCAGCCCGAAATTCCATTCGATCCTAAATCAATGCCGGGCCACCGCTCATATTTCGAGACTCTGTGTCGCATTGTATCCTTGTCATTGGAAGTCCTGCGGTCGCGCATGTATCCCGGATCATCTCAATTACGTGTCCATGAGATCCGGGAGTATAAACAACAAATCCAACGCATGCTCGCTGAAGCGACTTCTCATCTGCGGTATCGCGACAACTGTCGGTCTCTAGCCGAGCATATTGAGCGAACCGAATTGCGCCTGCACTCTTCCTATCTTCTCTCTGTCTTGTGTCGCGTCTCCCTCGACCCACATTCCCATTTGGACGCACCGCGTCGTGCAATGATCCGCGAAGACTGCATCGATAGCCTGGTCAACACAATCGATGCGTTTGTCGAATTGCACGAGATCAATTCCCACTGCTCACGGTCCTGGATCAGTCTGCAGCGAAGCATTGCATCGGCGTTTCTGCTCGTTGCAAATGACGACAGCCCCCAGACCTGGCAGCTGATCGACAGGCTGGAGATGGTTCTAGCGGACCATGTCTATGCAGACGATGAGATGCACCAGAACAACCGCACCGACTCCGCCAAGCATCTGTCTTCGTCGCTCCGTGCCCTGCGTGAGATCCGCCAGGCCTTCAGCGCCCGCACGAATCGTTCGACGGGGCCAGCATCCAGCACCACATATTCCCCGCTTGTGTTGCCTTCCCCTCCCTCTCTCGAACCCAGCCCCAACATGCCGTCCACCAATGCAGGTCTGCAGCGGATGGAAGGGTTGAGCATGCGGAATATCCTTGGTCGGGTTTCGGACGTGATGTTGTTCCCCAGCATGAGCGGAGGGAACCCAATAGTGTAACTGCTTTGCTTCGGTTTCCCGTGCTGGCGTTTGAGGAACGTGGGAACGTGGAATGTCGGGAATATACAATCGTCGAATACCTCGGGATTTCCTAGGTCAGCATCTATATACATACCCCTTCCCTCACGTACCCCGTGGGGAAGAATGCGATATATAAATCCTTCCAAATATAAGGAAGGTCCTGGATATTTGCAGTCAAACTTGTATGGAGTGGAAAGTCGAGAGTCGAGAGTCGAAAGTCGAAGAAGTCAAGTGCACAGAACCGGCACATTCCCATTTAGATGTCTTGCTCGAGTGCCGGGATATTCGGCCGATCCTTTTCCCCACCGGTACTGCTACATAGCTGGGCCATCAAATCACGTCAGTCGATCTCAACAGCTCTGACCTCGGCTTGTCACTTATCTGACAGAAGATCCGAAGACGGTGGAGTCGTAGTTTCGGCCGACCGAGTTATCCCCGTTCGTTTGTCCCCAAGGTATCGTCTGATGTTGATCCACTTGGCCGAGTATGGGGTGATGTGGAGGATCTAGGCTGACCTGCCTCGTATGACATTGGACCATCTCGGGTAATGGCATGTTGTTTGAGGACACGGGGTAGAGACGGAGTACGGAGTACCCCGTCTATCTTCTGTAGCAACATGCATCTATTATGATATTATGATATGATATCTATTTCTAGGTGGACCCGGGACTGCCGGCATCATATTTCGGAGCCGGCCTCGGGTATCTCGGGTTGAACCGATATGAACTATGGACAGGATACTATGTAGTATACTTGGGGTTCAGATACTCCTCTAATACCCCTATAATACCCCTATGCATTGAACCCCGTGCGCCTAACACTACTCCGTAACAGTCCTGTTTCAAACACGGCTATCCTGAGTAACTAATAGTATCCTAGACCAGCAGTTGGTGCAATCCTGGGGGTTTCAAATATTGGAAGGACTCAAGTAGCCCAGGAATAAACCCTTGGGAGCAACTTTGATGCCCAACGCTTGGCGGTTCCTTCTAGTATGAAATGTTTGAAGTAGCCGACGGTTAGAGCAGAATGGATAGTGCGACACTTGTTTTTTATAGCACATACTATATCACTTGCTACTAAGTTTCCATCTCGGCTGTCCTGCATTAGTCTCCAAACCACGATACATATTTCGAAGCCAATATGACCATTGAAGGAATGCCATCACCGACTTTTAAAATTACAATCCGAGGCTCTGAATCTACCCAACCGAGATGGATCATTTTAATCTCGACGATAGGTCACTGCCCAATGTACCAATCCGTGTGGTATGTGCCCGTATACCCTGGAAAGTCCCTTGACTCACCGCTACAGAGCACATCGTAACCGACCAGTCTATCTTGTGATTCTCCCTCATTCCTTCAATCACCAGTCCGAGACATTTTAATCTACCAAATATCCCGATTCCAAGGAAATACGGAATCACAGCTCAATGTCATCATCGGATGTCCGATGTCCCCTGCCTACGAAAGTAGCGTGCGCCTCCACAGAGCAATCGAGGCTACTGTCCCTCGGCTCAAGGTTTCTTCTCAAGGAGCGCGGGAGAGAATCTCCTAGCCATGAGGTCATCGACACCCACTTTATCAAAGAGAATACCACCTTCCCCCGTTCTCACAACCGTGCAGGAGTGGACCGAGGGCGAGTATTCCAGATCGTCGAGCGGGTGCCTGGGCCTGGGGTACCGTTAGAGGAGATCTGCTGGTCAATCCCCCAACCCGACCGGGAAAGACTGCTGAGTATCTGGGGCAGCTCCGCTCGTTCCTCTCCGCTAAGATTTCGCTAAGATGGAAAGTGTCCATGTCCTCATCATTTGGGATGACACATGGCCCATCGAGCACGGTCGACGAACTGTGGGATGTTTTGGCAAAACCCTGAAGCGACAAAGTCCCGGAAGTTGTCAGATTGCGGCTCCGTGAGTGCATGCCTTCTCCTCACCCGTGGACCTTTACCCACGGGCCACGGGGACCTGACTGACTGCAACATGATCGTGGTCAGAGTTTATGGGGGCTAGCTTTGGGTTTAGACTACTGGGAAACATGGCCAATCAGAAGGAGGTGCGCACATGGGTTCTGGAATCTAGGTCGTTTGAGTCACGCTCGAGTGACTTGGACACGCGCTTGATGCTGAAGGTATGAGGCATTGACAAGAGATCGAGATCTAGGTAGTATGGGATACAGAGTTAAGGTAGGCTGACGGACATCTGGAATAAAAAAGAAGCAAATGGCAAAAAGGGAACAAGAGATGACCGTTTAGCTTTCCAAGTTGGACATTGTTATAAACACTCGACGATCTCAACTTCTTTCGTCCCGTTGAAGAGGAGATATGTTGTAGTACTCCGTACTTGTTGCCGATTGTTTCTTATGTATACTCCGTAGGTGAGATCTGAATTCTCATGAATAACCTCCCAATGCTTGTTAATTTTCAAATGTATACCGATACAAAGAAAACCGACAATAGCATGTCCAACTCTGATATCTGGGAACTGCGAAGCTTGCGGAGATGAGCGATGAGCAGCGACATGTCGTTCATTTCCTCTTTCAGCCCCAAGTCCGAACCTCCCCTCATTTTCTTTTCTTCCAATTTCTTGTCGTTCGCTCCATTCCACCCCATCATTGGCCTTGTTCCTCATTTTGACTACTTGTGGGGAAATATAATGCATCCCCCGCTTTTGCCCCGGCCTTTTGCCCCGGAAATCCCGTGTCCATCCGTAATACGCCAATATACGAAGCTTTGCGATGGCTTACCTTAACGGATGCCCAGCCTTCCCCCTGCAAAGCAAACACATGTACCTGGCTGGACCTCGGGAGCAAATTTATTAGCTTGACCCTGTTGGTGCTGATCACTACCTAGTCCCCAGGCACGGCCGACAGCAAGCTTTCAGACGCTGCCATCGAGCGGAGTTATAGTGAGAATTGCTCATCACTACCCATCACATGGGAGGCCATTGCTACTCTGCCTCGGTGTCGATCCCTATTTCCTCGGCGATCATGGAGCTACCTCGTACTCCGTACGGAGCACGCAAAGAAAGACACATGAGTGCAATTGCGCTTAGCTAGGACCCTGTCTGCTGCGCGACGATCAGTGCCATCGAAATGCGAATAAAGAGATGACTCGCTCCGGGGTTGAGTTTCTGAATATTTCGAAGGCTCTTCCTGTTCCGCAACAAACCTTTGAACGATAGGTTTGGGGAATCGACGCCAATTGGACTGGTTAGACAAGGTATCAACCAAAGAAACGACAGCTAGATAGGCTCATTCGACAACATGCGTCTTTTGCCAACGCTCGCCACCGCGCTCCTGTTCGCAGTCAATGTGACAGGAAGTCCAGCCGCACCTTCAGCCTCGGTGGAATCCGTCACCCCTGTCGTGAACAGTGTAGACGAGGCCGCTCCGACAACCTCAGCCCCGACAACCTCCGCCGCTCAGGCAAACAATGTCAATCAGGCCAATGTCGCAGCCGAGACTACTACTGCCGCCGACACCGTCAATGCTGCCAACACGGCTACTGCATCTGTGGCTGCGACAGAAGAGACCACCGCTGTTGCAGATACCGCAGACCCGACCACGGCCAACCCTGTGGAATCCGTGGTCGGTGGCATAAAGACCGCTCTTGGTGCCGATGCGAATGAATCAGATTCAGCCGATGCAGCCAGTTCGACTGGAACTGTTGATAACTCGGCTGCTGTAACTAGCTCCTTCGCTGCGGCGACTACCTCCTCGGCCCCCAAGGCTACCTCCTCCGCTGCGTCTGATACAGGCACCTCAAGCACCAAGTCTACCAGCTCTGATAGTAGTTCCGACGATACCACATCGTCTGATATCCTGCCAGACTTGAAAGATGCCTTGTCGAGTTTGCTCGGGGGTAGTGGCGGCCTTGGGGACCTTCTAAGTGGTCTTGAAAGTTTGCTTAACCCCAGCTTCTTGGGTAATTTCGCCGACACCTTCGAATATCTCTCTACCGGTCTAGCACCCCCGGTCGACAACCAGCTCCGAACCTTGGTGGGCAATGCCAACGACCTCCTGACTGCAAGCTTCATCAAGAAGACCGGTAGTCTCATTGACAATGCCAACAGCCTCCTGACCGAGGAGAACACCAAGGAGATTGGAACTCTCCTCCAGGTGGCCAATAAGTTGTTGTCCAGTCAGTTTATCGACAAGGTGGACAATCTCATCGACAACGCCAACAACCTCCTCACCTCCAATTTCGTCAAGAAGACCACAAACCTCATTGACAAAGCCAGCCCTCTCATTGACAAGGCTGGCCCTCTCATCGATGATGCCAGTGGCCTGCTTACCGAGAAGAACGTTCAAGCGATTGAATCACTCTTGACCAACGCCAACACGCTGCTTACTGCCACATTTGTCAAGGAGACCACCAATCTCATCGGCAAGGCCAGCCCTCTCATCGACGACGCCAGTGGACTCCTTACCGAGGGCAATGTCAAGGCAATTGAGTCACTCTTGTCCAATGCAAATAAACTGCTCACACCCAGCTTTATCTCGACTACCGGCCAGCTCATCAAGCAGGCCGGTCCTCTCATCAACCAAGCAAGCGGTCTTCTCACCGCGGGTAATGTCAAGGAGATCGAGTCACTTTTGGGCAATGCCAACAAGCTGCTCACGCCCAGCTTTATCTCGACCACCGGCAAGCTTATCAACCACGCCGGTCCTCTGATCAATCAGGCAAGCGGTCTTCTTACTGAGGGCAATGTCAAGGAGATCGAGTCACTCTTGGGCAACGCCAACAAGCTGCTCACGCCCACCTTTATCTCGACTACCGGCAAGCTTATCAGCCAGGCCGGTCCTCTGATCAACCAGGCTAGCAGTCTTCTCACCGCGGGCAATGTCAAAGAGATCGAGACTCTCCTCGGCAATGCTAATAGCCTGCTGACTACCAGCTTCGTGAACCAGACAACTAGTTTGATCGATGAAGCGAGTGAGCTCTTGTCTTCGGATACGGTTGACGGGCTGAAGTCTCTCCTCACTCAGCTTACTCCTATCATTCCCGAGCTGAAGGGCCTGCTCAAGCCAGCCACTATCAGCGCAATTGAGAACGTGCTTGGCAACGCTAACAAGTTGCTCACGGACTCCTTCGTCAAGGATACCAACACTCTGGTCACCGAGGCTGTCGGCCTTCTCACCCCCGACCTGGTCAAGGCTCTAAAGTCGCTTCTTAGCGACCTTACTCCGCTGATCCCCGAGTTGAAGTTGCTGTTGACCAAGGAAACCATCAATTCGATCGAGGCCCTCTTGAACAACGCCGGAAACTTGCTCACGTCAGACTTCGTCAAGGAAACCAAGGGACTGGTCGGCGAAGCCAGCGACCTGCTCACTCCGGAGGTGGCCAGTGGGTTGAAGTCGGTCCTGAAGGACGTCATTCCTTTGCTTCCGGAGCTGAAGTCGCTTCTGAACAAGAGCACCATCTCTGCCATTGGCTCTCTCCTGTCCAACGCCAACACCCTCTTGACCCCCAAGTTCGTCAACGAGACCATTGGTCTGGTCGACAGCGCAGACGACCTCCTGACCCCAACCATCGTCACTGGACTGAAGGATCTCCTCGGCGACGTCATTCCCCTGATCCCCGATCTCAGAAAGTCACTGCTGAACACCACCATCATCACCGACCTGGGATACATTGTGACCAACGCGACGACTTTGCTCACCCCCGCCTTTGTCGACGATACCGCAGACCTTGTCGAGAACGCCGATGGCCTCTTGACCCCCAAGGTGGTCAGCACGCTCAAGGAGATTCTTGGATACGTGCCCGATTTGTTGCCCGAGGTGAAGAAGTTGCTCAAGCCGTCTGTCATTTCGGATGTTGGCGCGCTCTTGGAAAATGCTCATGATCTGCTTACTCCTAAGTTCGTCAACGAGACAAGCGTGCTGATCGATGACGTGACAAGCTTCTTGCCTTTGATCCAGGAATTGCTCAAGGCGCTGTGAGGAGGCTATATTTTATGATTTTCTTATATCGATTGCAGCGATCGCAATCATGATTTTAATGTTCTCTAATGATAATCAACGTTGTCTTGACAGTCTTCGTGTAAGCTGGATGAAGGCCTAAGTGCTTTTTCGAACAATAGAACAGAATAGTCAGATGCTTATGCGCCTTTCAGTCCTTGGCGACGTAGGACTTTAATAATCCCGATCTACTTGGCCCACGATGATATTAGGGACGTTACATAGTAAGGACACCCCGATGTCTTCAACGGCAAAAAGGGCCAACCTGATAGACCACTTGGCTATGAACGTACAGCAAAAGACAACCAGAAGAAACCTCGAAGATGTCTTCTACCAAGTCTTCATTAACGTCCGACGGTCCCCAGGGTTGTAGCGCCTGCCGATCTTGGCCCACACATTGGAGGCCCGCATTTGCCAAATCCAGCAAGTTCGGAGATGATCAAACATCGACCACCGCCAGGATGAGGGATTAATTAAGAGCGACCCTGGATAATCTCAAGTGGATATCGTGGTGAGGAAGCAGGTCAATATTTATAGCATCTGCCGCCAATCAACCCCCGGACCCTGCAGCGTGTCTCAACCCAGTTTCCCAAATAGGAAAGTCGTCGGTTTCATCCTACGCCAATATCATCGTGGATCATGCATGACATCCTCTATAACATGCGATTGAACTAGATTGTGGAGTGTATGGGAAATGACAGAGACTATTTATATGCGATGAAATCCATCTCTTTCTTACCATTCTCCAATCCAATTAATCTCATTCACAGTCCCCTTACAAACGAACATCATGGGTGTGATATCTAAATTCGCCGCAGTCACCACCTTGACCACCCTAGCCACCCTGACAAACGCCTGGCTACCGGAAGAGAACAAATCCATCACCGCCAAAGATGGCACAAACCTCTTCAAATCCTCCAACGGCAAAATCCGCGGCGTAAACCTCGGCTCCCAATTCGTCTTCGAGCCCTGGATCGCTGAGAGTGAATGGAGCGGCATGGGTTGCGGCGGAAAGAACTCGGAATTCGACTGCGTTTCCTCACTCGGCCAAGACGCCGCGAACACCGCCTTCGCCAACCACTGGGCGTCTTGGACGACGCAGGACGATATCAATGAGATGGTGAGCTATGGCTTGAACACCATCCGCGTGCCGGTTGGTTACTGGCTGCGCGAGGACATCGTTGATGCCGACAGCGAGCATTTCCCCCAGGGTGGACTTGATCGGCTGAAGAAATTGTGCGGCTGGGCTAGTGACAGTGGTTTGTATATCATTATCGACTTGCATGGTGCGCCCGGTGCGCAGGAGGCGGAAAATGCGTTCACGGGCCAGTATGCTTCTGAGCCGGGCTTCTATACGGATTACAACTATGAGCGTGCGCTCAAGTGGCTCGAGTGGATGGTGGACCTTGTCTACCAGACGGATGAGATGAGGAATGTGGGCATGTTGGAGATTGTCAATGAGCCTGTTCAGGATGAGGCGTCGGCGTCGTCTATGCGGTCGAAGTATTACCCGCAGGCTGTTGAGGTGAGCAGTATTTTCGGTCTTCGGGTCGCGGGTATGGACTAATAGAATATACAGCGTATCCGTGCCGCTGAGCAGAAGCTTTCCGTCGATTCGAATGACTACCTCCATATTCAGACGATGGATAAGTCCTGGGGCTCGGGTGATCCCAACGAATATCTCGACGACTTGACCTACATGGCCTATGATGATCATCGTTACATCAAATGGGATACCAGTGTTAGCCCCTCGCATGACAACTACATCAGCACTTCCTGCGGCGATAACCGCGATAGCAACTGGCCCAACATTGTCGGCGAATGGAGTCTTTCTGTGCCGGATGATATCGAGGCGTCGTCGGATTGGGAGCCCAGTTCGAATACCGACTTCTATGGAAAGTGGTTTGCGGCGCAGGTTCACTCCTATGAGAAGCAGCAGGGATGGATCTTCTGGACCTGGAAATCTCAGCTGAATGATTACCGGTGGTCTTACCAGGGTGAGTTTTTCTTTCCATTCGTCAAGAATTAGACGATGATAGCTGACTTCTTGCAGATGCTGTCAAGGCTGGGGTTATTCCTAAGGATTTGAACAGCGTGCAGAGTGTTTGCTGAGCTTGTCTCTTGTCGAGTCAACCAAACAGCCAGGCTGTATACTGTTAGCTGGGTTGAAATAGCAGCATTATATCGCCCATGAAACAATGTATAAATATGAATAAATCGGGTTGTTCATAGTGAGCATGAGTATGAGCACTTGGATACGTACACATGCTAGCAATAAGCGTACGGATAAGTAGAAGGCCTGTAAAGCCTAGGGAGTAGCTTCAGGAGTTGGGGTTGGCCACCACACCATCGCCCAAAGGGAGACTCCTGGCCCATCAGGCTGAGGGCTAGCATCAGCAGCGACCTTGCCCTTCCCAAGCCGAATCTCTTCGATTTCCTCAAACCCCATCGACAGATAGAGAGCGCGCGACCCTGTAGATGTTGCTTCGAGCCAGATCGGAAGGTTCGCGGCTTGAGCGGCCTGCTGGTGATCCCGCATGATCGCTTTGGCGAGGCCTGGACAAATATCAGTAAGAGATGCAGTATGACGTAGTCAGGAATGGGGCTGTCGAACCTTTGCCACGATGTTCATGCTCGGTGCCGAGACTGAAAACGTAGTAGTACTGGCTCTGTCCACGTAGACCAAGTCTTTTCGCGTTGTCGGTCATACCAGAGAATTCGAACCAAAGGCGCTAGATAATCATTAGCTCAGTCAGGATTGCCCTCTGCGAGAATATTGGGCTCTTACCTTGACGCCTGGGAGTCCTATTTTCCACAGCACGCCCAGAAATCCAGCGCACAGAAGAGTCCAGGCATTGTCAACGTACCCACCCGGTGGAATCATGACAGAGGCGGCCTTCCAGCCATCGGCTTCGGTGATCACTGCGCGATTAAGCAAGGCTGACTTGATGAGCGCGGTCCAGTATGTCGGCAGATAAGCCAACCTTTTTTGCTGCGACATGTCTAGTAGCATGTACGTAATGACGGGATCGGTGTCGAAGACGCGACCATTCAGCGCTGCGACCGAGTCTAGCATACCTATAGTCTTGTCAGTATCTAAGCATCATCCTTGAGCTAGAAATACTCACTGTCACCGCCGTGAGTGATTGGGACTGATGCTACAGCCATGGTAATTGTTTTAGGTTAGCAGAGTGGTTGCATGTGAACTAGGTTGACGTGTCATTGGCCAAGTCCTGGCAATGATGAAGGCAGCCATAGGAAAGGCGCAAATGTGCGCGAGGAGATTCGTTTGATGGGTTTGGCATCGACGTCATGGAGTTTGTTATGTAAGCAGGCGATGAGTCTTGACCTTTGGATGTCGAGCAACTGACTTAGATGCACAGGTGACAACTATTATCATCAATGCTTTCATGCTCTCGGTCATGCTCATAGCCATCTGCTTCTATCGAGAATGGCTCGTTCATCTCCGCTGTGGATAGTGGGACCTCGGGACCACAGTCTGCTGACAAACACTGGAGCTCCCCGGGATGCACTCGGCCCGCGACAGCTGTCAGAATTCTGGTCCGACATCACTCATTGGGATATCCCAACATATGAGCTAAGGATTCGGAAGTTCGCAGATGCATCTGAACGAATGCGATCGGAATACCAGACCGACATGACTGCACACTCGCTGGCTTGGGACTGGCGGTATCAGCAGATTATTGTTCCTTAAGCAGCGCCAGCCACCAGAATTAAACAGAAGTGCTGTGCAGCCAGGTTCACCAATGATATTCACTGTCTATCATAGCTCACTTTTTAATGGATACCGAAGACCCAAGACTCCCAAGACTCCGAACACTCTGAAATCCGAAGAACTTTGAAATCCGAAGACACCAGGAATATTCAAGACACCCAAAACTTCCGGGGTGGGCATGAAACATGACCACCCATTAAGAAACACGGTCACTGCAGATACTGTTTCACAGAGCCTCCCTTCCTCACCTCGGCGTTTTTGGCCTGGCAGTTACCTTTTTTCAGTTCGCACCTCTCCGACGAGCTGTCTTATTCTTGCTCACCGCTATACTCACTCTCCGGAACGGCGAAAACAAAGCCAGAAGGAATCTTCGACATTATGTGGATACTTGTCACTATGGAAACTAGCTCGAAGTAGAATCGCATCCACTTTATACCCATATTGACAATCTAGGACCAAACAAAAAGAGACGAGGTATCCATACTCCGTACCCCAGCCTGAACCGATTTTTTTTGTTGAGCTAACAAGGTGGGACCTGGTCAGTGTTTATAAGCCGGTGCTCGCTCTCAATGCTCACATTTATTTTTCAGGTTGTCCAGAACGCCCACGTTGCCTTGATGTTCTTCCCGTGAGAAATCCGTGTTCAGCAACTTCATTGAACAATTTCTGTTCGCCGTTGTTCGGACATCCCAGTTACTCAACTGCCTCAGGCGGAACTGTCCTTGGGCCATTCTAACATTAACTTGACTGGACGATCAGTGAGAGTGATGTACGTGGGCGGACCGGAGTCACACTATACGGTCAGAAATCATGTCGCACAGCGCCATGGCGGCAAGGATGAGGAGAAGATCCGAAGCACTGGGGCCCAGACATGGCAATGGCGTACTTCCTGAGCCGCAGACATCTAATGACAGTCTTACAGCTGTCGAGGATAAAGCGATCATTGACTACGTTGAACGATGGAAGGACCACGGATTTCAATTGAAAAAGCAATCCATGGTGTCAGAAATCGCCAGCGCCTATTTCAAGCACCATGGTGGCTCAGACAATGGTACCAGTCGTCACGGTGGGATATTTGCTCGCAATCGGGACTTTCACGAACAATTCAAAAAGTCCCGAGCGGCAGAGAAAGGCGAACCGTCAAATAAAGATCCTGCCGTGGAAGATGGTAAGCTCTGTGAATTCATAGATCAGTTTGCGGCCCTTCGATCAGACCATCGACTCAATAATGAGCATATTTATGTCCTCTCAGACACGGGGTATGCCACTACAATTCAAAAGGACAAGCAGCCTTTGAACATAAGCCGCCGGAGATCGTCTGAGAACCGTGCATTTGCCTCTGTCATCTACTGTTACCCAGCCACCGGCAAACCGCTCTCGCCATATGTCATTTTCAAAACGTCAAAAGTTCAAGGGCCCAGAAGGCACGAAAACCGAATCACGATATCGTACAATAGCAGTGGCTGGGCTGAAAAGACGCATGCACTGGATTGGCTGAATAGTGTGTTTGAGAAGGAAACCTGTCCATTTGGGCGCCGGGAGCGAGGTCAACGAGACCGAAGCCAAAGACGTCTTCTGTTGATTGATAGTCAATTTCCCGTGACGCCTGAATTCTTTGTGACGTGCTGGGAAAGAAATGTCATATGTCTCTGTCTTCCAAAAAAAGGCAGTGAATATCTCAACCCCTTTGAAAATGGGATCTTCAACGCCCTTGATAAGCTCTATGCAGAGCATATGAAGAAACAATTACGACAGAGATGTCCATACACCATTTCACCATCCCAATTTGCGACCTTTATTGACCGTGAACTCGGATTCCCCGATCGGAGCACGGAATGTACGAACGCATGGTTTGTTACTTGCTTGCTTCCACCTAGCCGTACACGATTGATCAAACGTCGAACGGGCGACCGGATTCGATCTCAAACCGTTGAGCCCAACAGCCCAATTCGTGCTAGGAGACGCCATGTCTCACCAGACGAGAACAATGTTGGAGAAGACGATGATCCCATATCTGTCATTGTTCACCAAGAGCAGATATCCTCGCGACGGTCGCTGCAAGGTCCACAGCATCGAGGAACGCCCACCCAGGAGTTCCCAGAAGAACCAGAAGCCTCTGAAAATTCCTCGGACACCGAGCATGATTCGGTACAGAACGAGCCCGAGCAATCGAGCAGCGAAGAAGAAAGCTCCTATTTTCATGTCCCTATCACGCCGTCGCGAACACCAAGGCAGCTTAAAACCCCCAAGTCGTCCCGCAAATTGAACTTCCTACCACCATCGGTGATGTCGCTTCCGGATTTTAGAGAGTGCTTTGATAGGTACGAAACGGTATCGTCCGCCGAGAAGAAACGGTACCGGGAGGAAATGACGTTGAGCTATGCTAGTTGCGTCTGGAAGCTCGAGGAGACCATTCAATCGTCGCCATTGTCGTCTTCCAAAAGATCACGGACTCGTTGAATACGAGATTCTGTCGTTGCACCGAGGTTCTCTGGAGTTCAGATGAACGTCCAGCGCATCATTATTTCCATTTTTCTTTTGTTTCTTTGTATTTTTGTCCTTCCACGTCTGTTCTTTTCATGTTGCCCTCCTGAATCATGTGTACTAAAAAAGCTGCTTCAATTTCATATCTCCATGTAGTAAACTGCGACCATTCAAAAACGAATTGACGACCTCTGAACACCTGCCATGATATTTTATTTCATGAACTGACTTTCAAATTATCCAGTCTCTGGGCACTGCCTCAACAGAATTCCAAACGGGAAAATTACGCGGGAGAAAAAGAAGCCAAAAGAAAATATTCACACGGGTGGATAAATGTCACTATGGCCTGGAGTGGAATAGCATCATTCCACTTTATTCCCAAATTGACACTTCTTGAAGAAAAAAAGCTCGAATAGCCATACGAAATGCAGCAATCTAATGATATGAACCGGAAAATTTGCTGGGCTAGCAGTGTGGAGGCTTGGGCAATGTTTACAACCCTAGAGCTCACTTCCAGTGCAAATTTTCTCCGTCAGACTTTCAGGCCAATTCTTGCCTGAACTTCGCAGTGCGTCTCTTTCAACCGCCCCGTCTTAGTCGTCAGACCAAAATATTGGGTACGCTTTTGAGGCGCCTCCATCTCACTTGCCACACACACCTTGCTTGTGCATATCTGCGAAAGAAGCTGGTGTCATGGCTCCGCCGGCTCTCTTTGTCGAGGACGAAAATGCAGTTGTTGAGCGGATAGAGCGTTGGTTGAATCATGGATTCTTTCCTTATAACATCTTGGCAAAGGATACAGCCAATGCATATCTCCACAACTACACGACCTACAGACCCAACCTCAACGTCGGTTGGCAGAAGGCGTTCTAATTGCGTCATCAAGAACTTGCTGGTTACATAGCCAAAGAGCGAAACGCACGGAAACAGAAAGGTCCACATGAAGATCGAAGAGCCTGGAAGTTCTTTCAAGCATTTAAAGATATCAAGCAGCGATTCCAGGTTTCCAACGACAATATCTATACTATGGAGGATGCCGCATTTATTACCACCATTTATCGAAAGGCAAGCCTTATGTTCGTTCGACCAACGAACTAAAACCACAAGAGAGAGGAACGGGCATTCTCATCTGTTATGCATTGCTGCTCAACACGAGGAAAGCACCTGCTTCCGTACATTGTCTGCAGAAGCCAAGATCCACCGCAGACCAAGAACTTTGGTCGAATCAAGGTGTCTTTCACTCAGTCGGGCTGGGCCGAGGCGGATCATGCACTTGACTGGCTGAAGACCGTCTTCCAGTCAGAGACCCGACCCGGAGGTCGGCGTGACGCATAGAGAATTCTGCTGATTTCCCATCGATTTCGCATAGTCTTCCCGGAGTTCGAAAAGTGCTGTCGGGAAAACAGGATCGCTTGTCTTTCTTTTCCCCAGAACGATCAACGGTTCTCTAACCCAATCGAAAACATCGCTTTTGGGCCGATGCAAAAGAGCTATACTGACTATATGAGAAAGAGATTCTCCGATAACAATGAGAACGCCATCACATTGAACGTGGAGGAGTTTGCATAATGGATCAATGGAGAGGTAGCTTCATCTAAGCGAGCAGAAGAAGCTGCAGATTTTTGGCGTCAAAGCTGCCTTGTGCCGCTAGATGAATTCCGTCTTCGCAACTGCCTCCAAGGGAATCGAGCTACGGCCGCGCCTGGGGATAGAACCTCCATTCTCGATAGCCGTCTATACTCGAATGATACTCCTTGGACAGTCTCGAGAACACGGGCCACACCTCGAACAAGTGTTCCTTTACCCGTCATCCCATTCACGGAGGAAATGAGCCGACACTCTACCTCCGAGTATTCACCTCCCTCACCACGACAATCACAAGAGATCCCAGAGGGCGACGACAGCTCTGAGTCGGAGGGAAATCAATCCGACAGTGAGCCTGAGGCTTTACACAATCACCAGGCCATCACACCATGCCGGACCCCTGGGTTGTCAAACGCTTCTCGGCCCACTCCAGGGTCACACTCATCTGATTCGGTCATGTCGTCCAAGTAACACCGAGACATCTTGAATAAATGCATAGGAGGGTCGTCTAAAGCACGAAAGAGGGATCGAGATGACTTAATCCTGGATCGCGGGGATCTAGAGAAAGAGAATGCTCGTCTGAAAGAAAGGGTTGAGCCCTTAGAACAGTTTGCGGTTAAGAGACGAAGACTCGACTGATATGCCTTCACTTCTTGGTATCCCAAAGCATGTATTCAACAACATTGTGAGCGATCGTTAGTTAACTTTTTTTTTTTTGTATAAAAATCCCTAGTCATGCCGGTACCGGGATCTCATGATACCGGAACCGCTTAACAACAACAACACCTTCATCTCCTTTCCATATCAACTTTCTCTTGAGTTTTCTCTCTTAAATCTAAACTCATCTTTGTTCAATCTCTACCTTTCCAATATCTTCCAACTCCACACATCAATAGCCAGCCATGGCAACCGTCCTCCTCATCCTCGATGTCCAAAACGGGATAATTGACCGCCTCGACAACACAGAGCCCTACCTCGAACGCCTGGCGTCAACTGTCGCTTTTGCACGTAAGGCCAACGTGAAAATTATCTACGTTGTCACTGCTTTCCGTCCCGGCTATCCAGAAAAGAACGTAAACAACATCTCTATCTCTTCTGTCGCCGCACGCTGTGAATATATCGAAGGCCAATCGTCGGTGCAAGTTCACCCAACTATCTCCCCTGTGGCTGGAGAAGTGATCCTCACCAAGCGTCGCATCTCGGCCTTCTTCGCTACGGAACTCGATATGCTTTTGCGCTGCGCAGATGCAAAGTCCCTCGTTGTCACGGGCTTAATCACCAGTGGAGCTGTGCTGTCGACTGTTCGCCAGGCAATGGATATGGACTACCGTGTTACAGTCTTGGAGGATTGTTGCATGGATCGTGATGAGGAGCTGCACCGAGTGCTGATGGAGAAGGTCTTTGCACATAGGACAGATGTTGTTTCGGCGAACGAGTGGGTTGAGAAGCTTTCTATCCAGGATAGGCGCTAGATATTTCATTCGGTTGTTGCTTGGTTTACTAATGCTACCTTGCTTTCATATGGAGATTAGGGGATTGACTGTCTCGTTGCGGGCCAATCCGGTGTCGTCGATCTATTCGAGCGCTCGGTTTTAGCCATGCTGTCTTTTAGTCGTTATGAGGAGCCCCCGAAATATTACAAAATTACCCTGCTGGATGAATACGTAGGCGTCTATTGAGCACCTACCTGGGCTGTATCGTGTCAAGGCTTATAATTAACCATACTAATAATTGAGGAATAACCAATCCGGTCCTAGCTTCGTCGAGCAAATAAGATAATTACATGTCAGTGCTGCTATCAGAGGAATTTCTGACAGGTTGGACAGGATTGTGGATGGTTTACCTGAGATGTAGCAACTCGCTGAGTTGGTTTCAAACACCATATCTTCATTGGAGCATGCTCAACCACTCTAATTGAAGTCTCAGCTTGAAGTCAACCTGCAAAAGGTGGATATACAACTTCGACAGCCATTCCCACCCAGTCATGGACTACAATTCCCCAGTCCCATGGCTTCTAGTGACCTTAGCTCTGCTGTCTTTGAGGCATTTTGGTGTACTGTATGCAAGAAGGAAGACAGGTCCTACATAGGACTTTCCTGCTTCGGCCAACACCTTGAAGACAGGCATCTTCAGCAATGGGGATATCGTTGCTTTGAGCCCGGCTGGCCTCACCGGATAATCTAGATTGCGGATGAGCGGCAGCGACAAGCAACACCACAAAGAAGCACTACAAAGGACTGCAAAGCGTGCATTGGATTGGAATAAATTCGTTATATTCGCTTCTATGCGGGGGCATTTATTTACAGAGGTCGCACCCTCTATCATATATTATCTACAGCTTGACCTGTCCCCGTTCCTGAGAACCCGCACAGCATGCCGGCTCGGGATGCAAAGTCGACTGGTTGAAAGACTGATTCGAAGCCGGCACATCCAGTGCAGGATTCTTAGTGAAGAAACCATCCGGCTTGAGCATCACACTGACACGCTCCATGGGCATAACAGGGAAGTCCTCGATACGGGGGTTGTGAGTGAGACCGAATGCTGGGAACAGTTAGCTGCCATTTCAGGAAATGTTAGATGGGATTTCATACTGTGCCAGAGAACAAGGTCTTCGTTTTCGACTGCGTCATTCCGTCCAGCCCACACTTCCACGCCTTCCGACTTCTTGCTCTGGTTTGTAAACTCGCCGGCGGCGAACAGCTCGTCATCTTGGTATTTAGTAACCCAGATAGGACGGGTCGCGAAGCGGGCGCGCTTCGAGCCAAATGAGTTCGGGTGTGCGAGAAGCATCTGACTTGGCATGGTTTGCAGCTTGTATGCGATGGGGTGGTGGGTGATGGGGTTGATTTTCGAGTCGTTCCGAATCTTAAAGACGCGATGGCGGTCGACGCTGGTTGATGCACTGCCGCTGGTCTTAATCACGTTCTGTTCTGTGGTGTACCCGACGAGCCATGGGTTATTATCATCATCGGGCATGGGCACGCTGTCTTCGTAGTAAACTGTGTTTTGATAGCCGTCTATAGCAGGGTCGATGCGGAGGGAGAACATGTGTTGGTGGAAGGGGGCCATAACGCCTGGTCCGACGTTCGTGCCCCATGGCACGGTTTGGCCGTTCTCATTTTCGAAGGCCACCGTTGAGAGAATACCGGTTGCACGCACCTCGAGCTCAATATTGGCTGCTTGGTCGAGGATGAAAGCGAAGATGTATTCGTAGTTCGCGACGGTGCAGATCATCTGAACCACGAGCTGGCGGTTACGGACGACAGTCGCTGCACCAGTGCGGTAATTGGTATGTTTGTGTTGTAAGCCATTATCCTGCTCGTGCATGCAAATGACATTCTTTAGTTGAACCGGTGCTCCCTGGGCATCCGTGCGATATCCATCGAAATATTTGATGTGACCGAGACAGTCACAGCCGAGGCTCAGTTGGTTAGCCGTGATACCGAAGCCGACGTCACCGACATCAAAGGCTTGCTTTCGGTGGTAGGGGGCACGGGGATCTAGAATAAATTAGATGGGCTAATACAAGGAGAGTATTAGAACATACCGGCGTAGGGGACTGTCATCTCAGAGAAGGACAGACGGTAGAAGGTGTTGCGACCATCATAGGTCACATTATGCAGCACCAAACCCTCTCGGTTGTTGAAGCCCACTCTGAAACGCCACTTTTGCCATGACACGGCATTCCCAACAACATTGAAGGACGCCCCTTCTGGTTGCTGAACAATGTAGGGCTTCAGATCGGTGCGCAGAGGCTCATCCAGCAAGTCATGCGCGTATTGCACAGTAGGCACCTGCTTCCAGGGCTGCGTCTCTGTGCTTTGGGTATCGGCTCCGCCTGGCAGATAATCGATACGGACCAATTCGCGAGTGATACCATCAAACACCGGAGAAAATTTGCAAGGCAGCGAATACTGGTTGTTTTGGGGATGGTCGGTGGCCACAATGTACATGTAGCACTGGAACAAGCGCCGAGTCTCTTTGGCATCCTCGGTGCCATAGATCCACGGATCCAAGCAGACGGTGTGGCCAGCCGGAAGCTTCAACTTTTCAATCTCAGCCTTGACAGCTGGATGGCTGAGACAGAGCTCCTCGATTTCCATCATTTCATCAATGTCCAGTGGACCCTGGATGTCCTTGGGCAGCTCTTTCGCTGACACGATGGACTTGGTGTCTGCGTTGATCAGAGCCTTGAAGAAAGACCCATTGTCCAATCGATGGAAGAGCACCATCAGCAAACGTGCCGGCTTTAGCGGGCGCACTTCACCTCGGCGCTCAGCCTCGAGGAATGGAACAACCTCATTCTTGGCGGGTTCTTGAAGATCGATGCGTTTGTAGCGCAGCTTGACACCGGGGAAAGCTGATTCCAGGACGGAGACCGCCAACTGGATCTCCCCTGGTGTGATTGGGTCAAAAGGGTGAAGGCTCGCCATTCTTGATAATGTTCAAGGGAGGATATTTTCTGCAAAGATGGGTATCGCCATGCATTTATATTCGCAAGAGGCCCCCTTGGTTTCCCTTTTGGGTAAATCTTTCGCGCCGGTGGCGATCTGATTGGCCAGTTGGTTACACGGCGCATCTTTTGCTAGAAAGGGTTTAGCGCGTATTGGATTCTTGATAAGCTGGACGGAGTGTCGTGATTGGTGGATTAGATTGTGGGGTTGGTTGAATATTTGTTGTCTCCCACTTCTACCTCTTATATGTTGTAGACATAACTTTTCAGTATAGTAGCCAAAAAATAAGGATATCACGGATCAGTGGCAAGCGTAACTCCGCATAAGGTTGGGTGAGGTTATATATAGCACATTGAACCCAGAAACAGCAAGAATACGAAGGTAAAGGAGGGTCAATGACATACCCAACTCAAATATCATTGCCCCGGGCGGAAATTGCCAAAACGCGAAGAAAAACAACTAAAAACAAGACGTGAGATGCTTATAATCTGAGACACAATCAGGTGGATGTTTGAGAATCCAAAAATCCGGGGATGGGGTGGGTGGTCACAGGGTCTCTCGGACCAGGAACTGGCCATTTATATAGTATAGATGACGCCTTGACTGTGTCTTTCAATAATTCGAAGGACATGTCTGAATAACTACATATTATATAGTAATTAAGTAAATCATGCACCGAGCAATGAATCATCGAGTATTTGACTCATATCACCAAATAAATATGCAAATCACTCTCAACTTGTATTCCCGGACTTCAACTGCACTCTACTAGTTATACGAGAATAAAAATGAGGACCTTGGATCATCTGAAACAGTCATCTGGGGTGTTCCATTTCAAAGTTCTCTCCGTATACCGACATAGTGGCTATGCCCTAGATGGTAGACATCCTAACGCCACTATCCGGTCTACCATGGAAAAGAATATACATATCATCTAATATTAGAAACCAGTGTTATTATCATGCTGCAGGCTTGTCTTGGAGGTCTAGTAGGTATAGAGAAAAAGGTATATAAAGCGCTTCGGTATCTCATTGCTCATCTGTGTGAACACAGCCAGAACAATCTACTAACTACCCACTCAACAATCTTGAATCTTCCAATTATCTTTTGTCCAAAAATGAAGGCCTCTACAATCTTCAGTCTCTTTGTTGCCTATGTGGCTACTGCTAGTGCGATTCCAGTGAAACAAAGAGATCATCAAGTTGAGATCACCTTCATTGGCGCCGCCAACGCCCAGTTCACTCAAAGCATCTCTACTGACGGGTCCACTGTCTCGATTGGTATGCCCCTTGTTAATCATGCGCTGGACTAAAAGTATTCTAACTTTGTTTAGAAAACCCATTGAGCATCTCGCACATCTCATCCAACACTGCCGGGGTCCAGTGTACCTTTGACGGCATTGATCAAAGCGTGACAATCGTCAACGGAGCCGAATTGGTGGATGTTGGCCCTCCACAGACCCAGATTACTGCGTCTTGCCAGGTCCAGGGATCGGGTACATCCCCTGTACCTCCTTCCACTGATCACCCCGATGGTGATCAAGTGCATGTCACTTTCATTGGAGCTGCCGATGCTCAGTTTACCCAGAGTTTCCCATCCAATGGTGAATGGATTCAAATCGGTACGTCTATCTATATATTCCGCTATAAACAACCGAAGACACTAATTACTGTAGTAAACCCTCTGAGCATTTCCCACATTCAAACCACCACCGAGGGCGCTACTTGCGTTTTCAACGGCATTGACCACAGCGTGACTACTGTTGCTGGTACCCAGTTGGTCGATGTCGGACCTCCACAAACCCAGGTTTCGGGTTCCTGCGCATGATGGTCTCTCCGGAAGGGGGACAAGAAGTGGCATTGTAAGTCTTGCGTTGAAAGGAAAATAAAGAAAGCAGAAAAACAGGCACTCGGTAGTATTTGCTGGTTGGTGTGTTTTCACTGTATGCTTTTTTGAATTTTGTTGGAAGAATTTGTCCATTATATTCTGTTGATATACACTCCTTTCTAGCACTTCTCTATACACTCATTGAAATATATATTGTCATTTATCCACAGACTCAATATCGACCGCTTAAATAGAATGAGTTACGTCCTTATTGAATACCCTTAAATTCTCTTTTACGCGTGAAATAGGAGGGACGAATGTGATTCAGGGCCGGAATGCGACGCGAGGGGCTAAATTGGCATCTTGTACTTCGGTTGAACGTCAACGTCGACGCATCGAACATTACTTTCCCAAGAGGTACTCCTATTCTTATTGATCTCTTCGCGCTGTCTAGGAAATATCTTATCTTATACCATCACATTAACGCTCATTGAATTGCTCGAAAATGCCCAAGGGCCGGCCAAGGAACCCCGGAATTCAGGGCTGCTACTGTCCCCTTCAAGCCCTTCAAAGGCCAAGCGCGTGATGGCATTCCAGATACACAGTCCAGGTCTTTCCCTTTTCCAAAGGGCTTTATAAAGCGAAGTCCTGTCCCCAGATCGCGTGTTTGCTTGACAACAACTACAACCGCCAACACCGCGCCATCGACATGCATTCGATCAACTGAGCGCGACTCTTATTTTTTGGAATATAACCCCATTGACGCCTTGATCTATCGCGTTAATTATCAACTACCTAATCCACTCCGGAGCTATTGCCAATTAATCTTTGTATTTTGCTATGGGGCGTGTGTCTATTCACGTCCTTCTTGCAGGCTTCGTCGGGTATGTCTTTGCTGGCATCCACCATCCTGCACATGGACATCGCCATCACCCTCGGCGCTTGATGCCGCCTGTTGAAGACTTGGAGCGGCGAAACATGGCTTGGGAGAATGTGAATACCAGTCTAGATGATTTTGTGGTGGAATCTATTACCATCACGACCACGACCACCGTTTTTGGAAACTGCGCGCCAACCAACACGATTCACAGCACTCTCACACTTGTCAGAAACAGGCCCGAGGCTGCATCATATATGACTGATCATCCTGTGCATGGCCTCGCGCGCCCAGAGGCATACGAGGAGCATTGGCATCAAGGCGAACCGAAGCCTGAGCCTGTTCTCCCTGCTCCGACAAACACCAGATCCGCTCAACTTCAATTCACTCAGCCAAATACCCCGGCTCCCAGGCCAACAGAGCCAGAGGAGACCACTACCATCTTCAAGACACACACAATCACCAAAACAGCAACGAATACCGTAAAGGTCACCGTCTACCCAGGAGCCAGCCCTTCCCCACTTAGAGATACACTGCCCGACAATCCTTCAAAGGCAGAAAAAGCAACGCTCCTTGCAGAAACATTACCAAAGGGCTCGTTAGAAGAAGAGAAAGCCGTCCCCGCCAAGCGACCATCTCCACCATCACACAAAAACAACGGACCCATCAACGCGGTTTTAGATCTGCCAAGTGAAATCCTCCCCGGTGTCCCAGTGGTGAACCAGATCCTCCCGGGCCCAAAGCCAGACAATCCGACTGCAGTGAACTGGACCGCAACCCCACCCAACGGTCAATTTTCAACAAACGGATTCGGGGGACGTACTCTCCCAAAAGGCGAAGGAACCGAGATCCTTTACCAGGGGAATGTTGGCAACCCCTGGGGAAGCAACATCATCAATGTCAGTCCGACCGAGGCACACGCCTACAAATACGTGGCGCAGTTCACGGGTCCAAACGACGAGCCCTGGACAGTGGTTGTGTGGAACAAGGTCGGGCCTGACGGTAAGCTGACCGGATGGTATGGCCACTCTGCTCTGACATTTACTATTGCGCCCGGTGAGACTCGCTATGTTGCATTTGACGAGGACTCTGAGGGCGCCTGGGGTGCTGCGCCTGGTGATCATCTACCCACGGATCAATGGGGTGGATACTCATGTACCTGGGGCGAGTTTGGGTTTGGCGACGGGGAGAATAATGGCTGGTCGGGATGGGATGTTTCGGCTATTCAGGCGCAGATTTCGAATCAACCTGTGCATGGCATGTCCATCTGTCAGGCTAATGGGAAGGGATGCTCGATTATCACGCCCGATGCTAAGAAGGTTGTTGATGCTTATGTCCAGTCGAAAAAGCACCTGGATGGTATTGGTGGTGCAGCGTCCCCTGGTCCTGTGCGGCTGAAAGTGCTGCTTGATTATCGGGGGTGAGTATGGGCGACGAAGTGTATATACGCAGGCATGTTATGAGATAGCCATTATAGAAGCGATGAATTCGTCAAATGATTGGTTTTCTCCAGGCTATTCTTTATATGAAAAAAGTACAGCTAAAATTCCATTTTCTCGAATTCTCACGCCGAGTCTTCCCAGAGGGCCCAATCACAAGCCCGATGGGTGCTTCAGATGCTCTCCCCAATCAATTAGCACGCGAGGGATACTCTACACTATCCTGATCGCATATCGCCTGCTCTTGCATGTATTGTGCCTCTGCGTCATGCAACATAATCTCATCCCTTGACTCTCCATCCCAGCGCCCAGCTGAACCTATCTCTTTTGGATCAAAGCATACTAGGCTCTATGCAAATTCCTCAGCCTCTCAATCCATTGAGGGAATGTCAATCTGCGTGATAGTCCACACCTTCCCACCCTGACTAGATGAAAGTCCAGTATAAGTGGCACCACCCGCGCTAGCAATCGTCGAGCCAAAGGTAGTATCAGCCGAGGCCAAAGTAATAACCGTGTTCAAGTATTTCTGCGCCGCGATGGTTCCTGAGCAGTTGTCGTCACACTCAGTTCCGGTGCCATATCTAACTGGGGTCAGTATAGCCCCGATAGATACTATTCGGGCCATTGACTTACCCTCGCATGTAGGGTCCAGATTCGTGGGAGTAAGTTGAAAGAAGGGCACCAGTCTGGCCATTTGTAACAGTCCTGCAAATAAATGTCAGTGGTGACGTATCTAGCCATTGAATTCATCCTTACTGCTTCCAGGTTTGTCCATCGGACTCAAGATTGTACTCAATCCGCACCTCGTCGGTTCCGCTCACGGGGGATCCGGTGCCATCAAGCTGACCGAAGCTGCCAAAAACACTGGCGCGCACACACCACTGGCCGGTGGTTGCTCCGCACCATGCGTTGCTGGGCCAACTTTCGAGGGTGGTCTGGACCAGGTCACCGGTTCCGTTGGACATCTATAATTCTCAGTGATCTAAGAGAACCCTTTGGAAAATTGGGAACTCACCCCAGGCCATAGGAATAACTCGCCGTTCTGAGTTTCTGGGGCAGCTCCGGGGATTAACGTCGTGACGGCATTGATAATGGTCGACTTGGATGGACCGAGCGAGACACTGCCACCCCAGTAGTCATCTCTCTTGATGACGGTCTCCAGTAGCCCTGCACTGGCAAGGCCGGCGGCAGCGAGAAAAGTTATGGTAAAGTGCATTGTGATAATTACGAGCTGGAAGATTGCACGTATACTTGTCCGAGTCGCTAAGCGTCACTGCACCTGGGAGATCTTGAAAATAGAAGAATGATTGGTTTGGGTTCATATTGGCATGAACACTTCCTGGATTTATAGTCTCCTCCGACAAGACATAAACCATCTCTGCTGTTGGAGTGGTGGAATTAACTAAAAGCGGAGCGCCTTCCGGGGCTCTTCGGGGTTGAATGTTTCACCTTAAAACAAGGTTAACACCAGGCTGATTGGTGAACACAGTCAACTGCAATGCATGAGACATCCTCATTGACGCATTAATTTCTGTCAAATATGCCAGTCAAGTCCGAAGCCCCGCATATGGAGTTTCTATTTGCCTGACGGGAGCTACCTATTTGTAGTGACAGCAGGACAATAGCCAGTATTCGAGGTAGACTACAACAAATAGGAGAGAAGATCCTAGGAATAAAGACACAAACGCTGTTTCGTGTTGCAATTCACGTACAAAATATTAATCTCCCCGGCAATTTATTCGGGTGGATATCTCATTCCAAGTATTCACCCTTAGTTTCGGCGTGGATCACATCAAACAGGGGCTTCGCACTGAACCAGCCAGCCTTCGGGGTCCCCACTGTTTTGTAAGTGAACGCAGCATCGACTTCATCAATTTTCACTGTTTGGCCGCCTCGTCCGGTGGCTGCTGCGTCCGCTAGCAGTTGAGCGTAACAGCATTTTTCCAGGCTCACGAACCAGAACACAGTTTCCTCGATGGTGTTACCAACCGTTAGGAGGCCGTGGTTTTGTAGCAGGGCTGCCTTTTTGTTGCCCAGAGCTTTGGCAATGTTCTGGCCTTCTTCTTCTGCTAGCACAACACCTTTGAAGGATGAGTAGAGAGCCAAGTCCTGATTGTGTTAGCTGGGGCCTCCCAAGGCGAGTATCGGAAACAACATACATTATGGAAAGCACAGGAATCCTGTGAAATGATATCGAGCGGTCGGCCCAGCGAGCAAAACGCTCGTCCATAGATACTATGACTGTGCGCAGCGCAATTCACATCCGGTCGTGCTTCATGGATAGCGGAATGGATCATAAATGCAGCGGCATTCAGGAACCGATTCTCTCCTCCTGCAATGACCTTTCCCTCGTGGTTGACCTGGATTAAGTCTGATGCCTTCATCAGCTTGAATGCTGTGCCGAAGGGATTCACCCAGAAGGTTGTCGGATCCACCGGATCGCGCAAGGTGATGTGTCCAGCGACGCCTAATGGGAATTTTAGTTGTTAACTCGATGTTTCGCTGTAGGACCGTTCATACCCTCATCGTATCCCTTATCGCCGAAGATTCTGAATGCTGCTGCTAGGCGACCCTTTAAATATTCCCGTTCCTTCATCTTATCCTCGAAAATAGGCATGCTGGGCATCTGCATCTTGATCTTGGCCTTTTCGGCACCCGCCGCCTGAGACGACTGTGGTGCCTGCATGCTGATGGTGTTTGCGAGGGTCTCGGTGGCAGTTGGGGGAGCCATGGCTGTTAGTCGTCTGTATTGAGGAGGGTCGAGATACACTGGAATAAATACAATCTGCCTCCAGAGTCATTCAACAACTCTTAATGCCGGGCAACCCCTCGAAGCGGGGTTGCTGATTATCAACGATGTTGGATTGGCTGGTGAGCCGAGGTTGTGTTTCTCCGCAAGCGGACGTTACTCCGGTGTGATATTGTGATACTTGGGGGTAGTTGGCATAGATTAAACAGTACAATCTGAGTAAGATAAGGAAAATAAGAATAGCTAATATAAAACTGCAAACACATCCAAGTCAAATCGCTAAACTCTAGTATAGCACTGGATCATTAATGCATCAAATCGTGATAGTTAGCTTCAGGGTTGGATAGAACCCTTGGTTACGCGGTCCATCTAGTTTGTGGGACTTTAAAGAGGAAACAGAGGCGCCCGCTGAACCTCCGCCATCAATGCCTCAAACAGCTTACGGTCGGCTGGGCTAAAGCTTTGGCTGATCGTGTCGTGACGATGCGGAGATCCAAGCAATGGCTTCAGGTCGGCTTGGCACAAAGTTCCTACCACTGGCAGTGTGCCAGTTTGGAAGTAATGGCGAATAGCCTTCGCCACGCAGATTGATGGGGCTGTGAGTGTTGTGTGCTAGATCAAGTATGTCAGGGATGAATCACGGGATTACCGCGAGTAACTATAACTCACTCCTTCTGATTCTTGCTGGAGCAATCCAGATCCTGGGAAAATCTCGGACATGTGCTGGGCACTGGGCAAGTTAGCTTGGAAAGCCACTAGCGACGAGCGAGTATATACCTGTGGAGAGGAGTCACGGGATCCAGAGTATTTGATACAAATAGCATCGGATAAGCGGTAGAGGCGCCCCACGGCCCTAAGCCGGTCAGCTGCGAAGAAATAGAGACCACGATAGGACATACCTGCAAAAGGATACTTAGCCTTGGCTTTCCATCCAACACAGCTCAGTTGCAATTGCGCCCAATAATCACCCAGAGCTGCACTGTCAGCCAGAAGACTGGACCATTGCGCTTGGAACTGCTCAGTATTCATAGTTGTCAAATATTCGGCATCCGAGCACATAATAGCAGCCATAGCGTAGATCACGTTATCCTGCGATGTAGCACATTCTGGCGACCAAGGTCCAGCAAGACTGCATTTGTTGGAAGGGCATGCACCGAAGTGCCTACCATGCTTGAAGTCAGCCATGGGAACGGCATTCCCTTTGCCCAACTCAGTCATTCTTTCTGCCAGGAAAGGGAAGGTAAGGAGTGGCTGGTAGATGGCAAGGCGCTGGATCTCTTTGATATCTGTCCAAGTCACAACTTCTGGTCCCCGTTCTGCAGATGCCATGACAGGGATTGAGGTGTTGAGGATCTGCCGTTCAAGTTCCCAGTATGCTGCCTTGATGGAGTCTGGACCACCCTCCATATAGAAGGGGCATCCCACGGGTCCAGCTTCATTACAGTACTGGGCAAATCGATCAAAGATGGCATCTGCGTCGGAAATAACATTCGGTCCTGTTCCTTGGTAGTACTTCACCATGTCGACTACGCCATCGAGAACAGCTCGTGTGACTCGCTCTGGGAAGAGCGAGGCAAAGGTAGTTCCCAGCAGGGTACCGTATGAGCGACCCCAATAAAGCAATGGCTCTTCTCCGCGACGCCATTGAGTGCGTTCCAAGATTGTGTCTCCTTCATCCAGCCCATGGCACTTATTGTGAGCTGTCTGCGCTCGTTGTCCTTCCTTCTCACGCCATTCTCCATGACGTTCGATGATGGTCAGCATGTCCTGTGCGACGAGCGGCGTATTGACATAGGACATCATTGGCTCGTCTGTTCCTGGACTCGACATATCGAATACAGAACAACCCGAGTTCAGCGCTTCGGTCCGCTGCCAATTTCTCTGCAAGGAATCCGATCCACTTCCCAGTATGCCTTCCGCAGAGACTTGCAGCTCCCAGTTCCTTTGGGATACGGGATCAGGGAAACACATCACTGGAGGTGTTGTAGATCCTACTCCGCGAGGATCAAATCCGATGATATCAAAATATTTGTTGCCAGTCTCTTCTCTGGTTTCTGTTGGGTCGGCCTCCGCATCAACAATTAGCTGGAGATTTCGACCTGCCACGAACGCTTGCATTGTTCCCGGTCCACCCGGTCCACCTAGGTTATAAGCTTATATCGTCATATCGAGTCCAAAACAACTTACCGGGATTGATCAGAACTGCGCCTCCATACCGCGGATCTGTGACTGGAACCTTGGCTGGCAGTCGGACAACAGCCAGGGCGAAGGTGCGACCTTTTCCATCTGTCCTCTGGTAATCCATAGGCACTTCCAGTCGTGCGCATTGGAACTCATCACCGCAGTTGTGGTACTCCAGCGATTGCGAAGGAACAATTTCGTCCCAGGTGACTGGAACGAAAGGCTCAACCACGTTCCACGAAGGTAATGGGACAGGCCAGACTAAAAGAATCAATACCGCAGCAGCCAGGGGCAATCCCCACCGAGCATATCGATGAGGTGGCTGGCGTGCCTGGCGTACCTGGCGTACCTGACCAGGCGGTAAAGGCACGGATTTCACGTCCATCACGCCAAACAGCCAAAACACAAATCCAGACCAGAGCGCAATTCCCAAGAGCAAGGATAGACTCTCAAAGAGTTGCGAAGTCCAGAAGCCCCGGGGCTAAGAATATAAAAAGAGAAAGTCGGGAATCAGATAAGATGGCTTTTCGATTCCCGCCGGTCCCGCCAAGTGGGGGGGGTTTCCCCCTATAAACACCTCGATCATCCGTATACCTCGTGATTCTCGTGATTCTATTGGGGGTTTCCTGAAAAACGATTCGTTCAGATGAAAAAGATAAGTGCTGAGCAATAAGAGCACGCTCATGGGTCAGCACACCTGCATATTTCCTGGGTCCAGTAGCCAAACATATTCCAGGATATGCTGTGAAGGGCTCCAATCGGACTGCAAAGTAATATAGGACAAATATTGGAGATTGGAGTACAGAGAGACTATTCACATGAGATTCTGAAGCCGAAGTCGTGGAAGGGGAGAACCTTAGTCCGTGGGGGATTAGGCAACTGCCACCATCCATGTCCCTCTCAACTTCTATTCCCACCTGCAACCCATTTGATTCGGTAGTACAGAAAGAGTACGTGGCTTCAGCAAATGGCAAGCAAACAAGAGTCTCATTAACATGAAGGGAAGGGGAAGGAAACATCCTCTCGGCTTCTGAATTCTTGAATCATACACCATGGGCTCCAAATTCCAAGTTTACATCGACCGCCTCCACACCTTCTCTCTGGCCGTGGCCATTCAAGAGATCGCCGACCTGATGCCAGGTCTCACAAGCGTTGTCCCTCAGGAATACGGCTACTTCGTCCAACACCCTGACTTTGAAGGGATCGGCAACCTGAACGACATCGGCACCCTCTGGCTGAAGCTCGGATCGCAATGTCACGATGACCGCGCGCCCCTCAAAGTGCGCCTTGTCCACGTTTCCCAGGATGACCTGATCTACGAAATCTACGGCACCAGCTACAGGATGCTGAATAAGGGACTCCGTGATGGGACCGTGGCACCTCCCGTCCCTCATGGGGATCCCAATTACTGCCCCTGCTGCAGCGGCGAGGCGAGCGCCACCATCTTGGCTTATTTCCATGAGCGACAGGCGTTGTATTTCACCGAGGAGGAATACAAGGGTCTCTGGGGGGATCAGCCGAATGCAGGGGAGAAGTCTAGTGGTTGGACAAAAGAGAATGGATGGACGAAGCGTTCTATCAGGGCGAGCAAGGAGCAGATCGAGGAAGCGCTGGCGAGAGCCCGGGCCAGGAGAATTGCGGGTATGCTTTAGATGATCTAGTGTTAAACTGGGAAAGATTCGCAGTGATCACAGACGTCGGAGAGATAGTTCAGATGATGAAGAATGAAGATACAGCCGTTACGAATACCTTGCTTGGAAGATTTCGCAACGCCCCGGTATGTACACGGAAAAAGGCAAGAAGATTGCACGGCAAATCCCCATTGAATAGCAAGAAAACCACCCACCTCCGATCTATCCCCGTGTGCAGATGTAAAATAAAGTTGATGTCAGCTTCGTCGGAGCTCGCTCAACTAGGTCGAACCGCTTAGTCGTGGCTGCGAGGTCGCTTTCGAGGGTTGATAGCCCGGCGACCAAGAGACTCAGCGCGGCTGCCGATGGAATCCTCCACCCGCTGGAGGTATTCGACAAACTCGTAATAGTTATCGAAGTCCAGATGAGTCTTATCAGCCTCGTTGCGAACCCTGTTCATCAGATGTTCAAAGAGATGGCGCATGCGGTCACGTTCCGAGTCGTTATTGGGGAAATGCGGCACCCACTGCTGCATCCAGTTGGAGAAATCAGTCACCGACTGGGCCGGTCGCTGATAGCTATCCATATAGCGCGACCTAGCGACATCCGGGTACACTCCGCTCTGGAGCTGGTGAATAAGGAAGGTACAGAAATTGCCGTAGGTGACCTTTTCGGCCGGTAGGTGACGTATGTGTCGCTTCCACTCATCCTCGATATTAAGGGCAACGTGCTTAAGCGCCCGCGTGACCTTGCGCTCGTCGACCTTATACCAGTCCGGATATTTATCGAAGTGTCGCTCTAGACCCATAGAGAAGTTCTTGAACTCTCCCAGAGCTCGTCCGTTGTATACCGGCACATTGGGCACCGGTGGGGCGTGGACGGATGATTCAGGATGAAAAGATCGGGCGGACGGTTGCAGACTGAAACGGGATTCAGACTTGACAACCGTTTGGGCGGCGGGGGACCTGGTAGCTGCGGCGAGGGCTCGCAATTGCTCAAGGTTCAAACCGGAGGAGAGGTTTACGGGTTTGGACATAGGCTTCGGTTCGGACGGCTTAGCCTCGGACGGACGACGATCAGCAGCTTCAGTCACAGGAGCTGGGGCGGTAATCTGCTCCGATCGGGCAGCAAGAACCTTCTTTTGGCCTCCATCAATACCAGCCTTGTTGTTCTGCTTCGAATCGGCTCTGGATGGAGTCGAAGCAGGGGTGGCCGGGGGAAGTTCCAAGGTGGTCGCGGCCAGGAGTCGAGTGCGAGCCAATTCCAATTCTCTCTCCTCCTCTGCAACCTTTTGTTTGATATCAATGAGCTCTCGCTGCTTCTTCAGTCGGGATAATTGAGCTTGGGCTTGACGGATTTCCGCCTCGAGATCATCGGCAGAGCCTGTCGGCTCTGCAGGCTTAGTGTCGGTGTTTTCGAACATCTCATTCAGACTGTCCCATCGCTCTTGAATTCGATGAATGGTGGATTCAGAGCCAGGTTTCTTGTCTGGCTCTGACATGGTGGTTTTTTTTTAATCCTTGCGCGTTGCAGATAAGATAGTGTGCGGAGAAAGAAAGTTCCGAGTCCGTGAAGAAACTCACGGTGCCTAAGGCAGCAATCGTTTCAGATCGAATAAAGTGATGTATGGCAATCTGAGGTGTTTCTCCAGGGCTCTGACTTCACAGATCTGGAAGTCCGAAGGGGTGATGAGATGAGTGGTTGTCGACGGCTACATGCACCCGGACAACAAGTGCTCCTCAATCTAGTATGGGCACAACATCCCGGTATCTTTTCGCTTGTTATAGAGGGATATTCCCCAATTGCCTATGAATCTCTGAATCTCTGAAGACAAACCATGCAAATTGAGTCATAAAGTCCGTACTATGGGCCACTGCCGCTATACTATATATAGAAGTCAAGAGAAGCCGAACAATGATGGGATAACATAGGTATTATTCATTCAAAGATTAGTTATTATTAGTAATATATAGTAAAATTGATCCATCCACACAACCCCAAGCTTTTTATTTACCCGGTGACCCAAGCAGGCACAAGAACTTCTCATCCGTCGAGGTCAGCACGTTCTTGACCAAGTGCCAGACATTCAAATCATAGGCCTCGCCAATGTGGCCAACAGGATCCAATGGGCAAGTATCCTGGATCCAGCGATTCGTCACGCCTTCCTCGTGGACGAACGATGTCGACGGCGGAGTAACCAGCTCATCGTATTTGGACGCAATGATAGTGACACTGTTACCAGGCTGCGCAATAGGGGTACCGTCATTCAATCGGTTGATGGCTGGGCCATCGGGGCCGAGATCGTTGCAAGCAGGGCAGCCGACGGTATTGAGCACTTCGGCCACGACTTCGCGCGACTGATTGCCGAATGTGTACGCGAGGTTATAAATGCTGGCAAATGTAGTGGCATGGGTAGGCGGTGCGATAGATGCGATCTTGTCGACCAGGTGGGCGACGCCCTCGAACTTGGGCACATAGAGAGATTGGAAAGCACCCTCGGAGTGGCCGACTAGGTCGACTTTGCTTTTGCCGGTCTTTTGCACGACTTCCTTGATGTATGCGGCAATTTCGGGAGCGCTCTCGTTGATTGCCTTCAAACCGCCAAGCAATGGGAAGCCATCGTATGCGCCATAGGTTTGGGCATATGTGCAAAACCCTTGGGTTTGCAGCCAGTACTGCATGTAGTTCAGATCCTCATAATATGTCGCTCCAAGACCATGCAGGAGGACAACTGGGTTGTATGAGCTTTGGCAGGAGAAATCGTTGATTCCTGTTGCGACGACTGTGGTAGTCGCGAGGGCAGAGAGCGCCAACTTCGTGAGTGAAGGCATTTTGTATGACAGGTGTGGTATCTAGCATGGGGCCGGGCCGCATGCTGTTTATAAGGGATTCTACAGGTACGCAGATCTCCTTTTTTTCTTCAATCTCCATCGAACTATCGATTGTTGATCGATTATATCGCCCTGTGAGTGGTCGATGCTGCCGATCACTGGTGGAGCCAGGGCGAATGCGATGTAGTTCCATCGGAAACATCCAATCAGAGTCAGAATGGTAAATGAGCTTTGGATACATCATTTCGGCTGAGATTCATATATTGTGATCTGTTCAAATGTTTTATTACCGCGGCAATATAGCCGGAAGGTGCGGAGCACAGCCCCTATACTATTCAATGGTAAGCAGAACAATGCCCTTATGCCCATGTAGGCATCGGGACTCATTCAAATGACAGCTGCGCCTCAGCGCAATACTTATTTCGAAACAGCTGGACCACACAACCCTTATATATATAGACTAATTAAATCGTGGCTACGGAAAATCACGTCTATGGGGAGTATTTGCGTCCACTCTACTGACTACCCGATTCAGTGACGAGGCTTCTTTGGTAGATAACTCTGGCATGGAACTGCCCCAAAGCCCAAGAGCATGCCGCTTCTCAACGAGTTGCAGCACTTCAATCATAAAATGGCGCTCTGGACCTCCGTCTGGGAATGCTTCCCACGCTACTCGAGTGGGGAATGCAAGACGATTGATCATGTTGCCCGGCGCAGTGAGGATATAAAATTCCAAGGAGCGACAGATCCCGCAACCCAAGTCATACTGTTCCATGGGCGAGACGCGATCCTCTGGTCGAGTGTCGATTGAGGACAGAATCAATCGCACGGCGTAGTACATACACATGGTTTGTGCGAGTAGCAGGTTTGGATATGTGAATTTTGTTGGGATGAAAGTAGCCCCGGTGCGGAGGTCGCGGCGTTGGAAGATTGGGAATCCCTGGTCGCCCTTTTGTTCGGCTTCCTGCGGTGGCCCGTCAGGGTATGCGACAACCCACTCTTGGTGCCATTGATAGAAACGGGCCGTAAGCTCGCGTATTCCATTCCAAAGCGTAGACTGTTTGATAGCCATCTCTTGTGCGCCCATGACAGATGTGATTTGGGCTTCTTTAAAGGCATCTGATACTGCCAGTAAGCCCGGAACCTCGGTAGCCAGGTCAAGTAGATGGTGCAGAATATCTTTTTGACTCGTTCCTGCTGACCATGGAATGGTCTTCCACTCTTCACGGGCCAGAAATGAGGGTTGTCGAGCTGCCAGAGCACCGCCAATCTAAGCCATTGGAATTAGAGGAGGAAATTACGAAAGGTCTGTGATCTTACCCAATATGGACGGAGTTCGGTGAACAAAAGATGTTCAACTCCATACATGTGATTTTCTGGTCCACGATGTTCAAATAGACGCACTGCTCCTCGGACGTGAGCAAGGACACCACTCTGAGTAGTCCGTTCAACGCTCTGCTGTAGTTAGTATTGACTAGGGATAAAAAGTGTTTTATCAAACCAACCTCGAAAGCCAGCAAGAGAGTTACGGTCACCAGTGTTGATTCTGCTTTGCATTTTTCAGGATCCACCAGCGCATCCTGCAATGCACGTAGCACGCGGGGGTATAGTCGGAATCCGGACGCCTCGATCTGCTTGTTCTGCACAGAACGACCAAAGAATGCCACCGAGACGGCCTCGAACGCGTCTGTCATGAGTGGCGAGAACATTCGAATCCCAGCCGCAGCCCGCAATGCACCCGCTCGTCCAGATTTCATATCCACTTCTGGGCTAAATGCATCCACGAATCTCTCGACAAACACATCCACTGCGGGTCTTTGCATGCTCATGACCGATATCGTGCCAGACGAGTCAGATCCACTGCTCTGTGACATTCGTTCAAAGTCGCTGTCATCGTCTTCCTCACTTCGCAGATTATTGAAGTCTTCGACCGGGGAATTAAGTAACCCGCGATTCCGAACCGAGAGTGACGAATGTCGCGAAGGATAATCGTAGGATTCGTACGCTGAGGCTGTCAGCACGGGTAGCTTTCTAGCAATCGTTATACCACATAACTTACCTTCCCTGCCTTCCCATGGTCCAACAGGGACCAAACCCTTCTTCAGGCCGACATGTGCATTCCGAACATCGCGAATAAGATTATCGACTAGCGGGCTTGGTGCAGAGCGAATAGACTCAAATAAGTTCTCGAGCTGGTCCAGGCGCTGGAGATCCTGGACCCCAGATCCTGCACAGGCATCAGCGATTTGTTCTCCATCCACATGAGTTTGCCACACGCTAGAGAAAAGACTGAGTGGGCGGGGCTTGCAAATTTACCATTATGTTTGTCGTCTATTCTCCCCCTCAGCTCGCGGATCTCCGCCCGTAAGTTCCGAATCTCTTCCGCCTGACTGATGGGGCCAGCTTCTTCGTCGGGAACATGCTCATACACGCATTTGGAGGGGTAGCCATGGGCACAGCAGGCGTGGCAGGGCTTGACTCGGTCACACTAACAGCAGGATCCACGTTAGCCTTGCGTGATGCGTTACGACCAGTGGGACGCATCAAATGGGTACGGGAGCGTCCCGACCCCTGGGGCGATCTGAGCACGATGACGGGGGTAAACGGACCTTGACTTTCCGGAGCCGGCAGACTTTGCAGGACCGCGACTGGCGGTTCGGAGCCTTCCTGACTCGTGAGTCGGGGACAGATTGTTGCGTACCACCGATCATGGGGGCAAGGGAAACTCAGGGATGAAGGGGAGGGTTCCTCATCCCGAGCCAACGACACAGCAGGATTTAGGCGAGCCAGATTTCCGATGTGGGAGTCCGAGCTCGTCCGAGATCTGCTTGCTCTCAAATGGCATTGGCACTGGTTAGATTCCACACTAGTCGACGCCTCCGGAGGTTTTGATACGTGCGTGCCAGTGGAGGTCAGTAGGTGGAGTGACTCCGCCATTCTGACTGGGCCCGAACGGAGTGGTTTTGATTGGATATTGGCATTGCCCTAGTGGATAAGTTCTGGCAGGACACTGTCATGGATTGAAGAATTGAGACAAGGCCAGGCAAAATTCATAACCTGCAGGCTCAAGATTGTAAATTGTAGGATAATCTATACGATATTGTAAATGTTTTGTGAATGCAGAGTTGGTAAAGATCACCGAGGTTGATGGATTTAATGAGTGTCACGTGCAGCGCCTCCAAACTCATTCAGACCTTCTGCTTTCAATTTTGTTTCATTAGCATCTCAATATATGCATCTCATTCTTTTGCATGCCTACAAGTACGTTGCAAACCTCACAAGTACCCATTTCTTGGCCTATCTCTAGGCCAGTTATTGACTAGGTATGTTGTGTATAGTTAGCGAACCCTCGAAAGACATGAAGAAAGACACCCCGAAAGAGATATATTTGATATTCCCGTCACTTTCTCTTTATCTAGTCTATCAGATTTCAATCTCCAGTCACTCTTTCAATCTACTCAAATGGTGTATACGTTGATACCAAGATACTACATGGAGAAGAAGAAAACCAGGAATGAAAGCTTCCATACACTCAAAGTATAGGTGCTTCATGTGAAAATAGACATCCAGTCTCCGCGATGGGCAAGAAGTATTAGATGTCCGCAAAATGACACATATAACACTCATCGTGTTCCTTGCCATCCCATAAGAAGCTCGCCTTGGCATGATTGTGGGCACCCTTTGCACACCACTTCCAGTCCCGAATACACAACAAACAGATATGCAGTCCCGCCATTGGCCATGGGCGAAGTTTCTCGCAGTGCATACAGCCAAAGAATTCGGGACGTTGGTTAGGACCTACGCTGATTTCGCTTTGCTGCTCATATTCGGGCTCAGTTGAAAGTGACTCTAGGTCTTCATCTCCCCGCTGGATACCATCGTGTGCGGTCTCCTTGTCTTCCTCTGGCTTTGTGGTGGTTTCCATCATATTCTTGGTGGTGGTAGAAATGGTGATGACAGTGGTTGTTGTTGTGCTTTGCGCGGAACTTTCGATAACGGGCGGTGCAACTGTGACCCAACTGTGCTGGCTAGGATCTGCGTGCGAACCTGTCGCTTGGCCATGTACGGTGGTTGTCGGTGCAGCACTGATGCCTTCAGAGGTAAGTCCTGTCTGCGAGTTGCTGACGTCGGGAATAGTTCGGGGTGCTGGATTAGCGAGATAATACGGCCGGGATCGACCCCTGTTGCCTTGCGTGTTTCCTTGCGCCCTTTTGAATCGTGATCTCTGCTTTTTTTTTAGTCTCTGGATCTGATAAGTGAGTGGAATTATTTGCCCATCTAGGCATATGATATACCCACATTCCGGTACTTCGTGCGGCAATCCTCACACAGTTTGTAGAACTCCTTCGCTGCACCTTCAGATGCCCGAAATGCATCCTTCGGCCTGTCTTTATTGCAGGTGTGACACAACCTGATTTCTTCGGCCATGGTTGGATGCGGTAATTCTGCAAAGTAGTAAAGTCTCAAGTCTGCAAGGGTAAATGGTGTGTCGTTGAGGCAGTAAGTAGTAATGTGGGTTTACGCAAAAGGAAAGAAGAACTCGCCTTTGATTGAAGTTATATATATGGACTAGTAGAATGCCCGCGCGTTACGCCGCTGTGAAGTATAGCACAACAGGTTCAGAGGGAGAAAGAGAAAGGTCGCCATTCAAATGCTAACTTCCAAGTAAATTTTATATGACAGTAACATGTAGCTTATGTCTCGCTAGCTAAGTGAGGGGGATATATAAATAAAATGAAGCAAAATCCATAGCGCTATAACAAATGTTTCAACGACACTCAAACTTCTGAACAGGTCGTGGCAAGCTGGTATGAATGTGAACTGGACTTTTACATCTCACTGATCAACTGAAAACAAACAATTTTTGCAATATTCCCTTTCTTGCTAGCGCGTTCCATTTCACAAAGCGCTTGGTCAAGAGATTCCATATCCCACGCATTCGGATTTGATATTTGGTTCGGTGCGACTTCTTCATGCTCCCAGGGCTCATCGGCGCCCGGTAGGATGGGTAGTGTTGTAGGTAATTTTGCATTTTCGATCAGGTCGACTCGGTGTAGAAGATCATCATGCACGGCACTGGATACCACTTTTTGCATTGTGATGCCGGCAATGACATGGCGTAGATCGGGCTCAGCAGCGTGGGCCTCTTTTCGAATCTTCTTTAGTGAGAGTTCGTAGAGTCGATATGGTAGAACTTCAGAGTCAATGGTAGGGTTGCGACTTGGGGCTGGACTGCCAACCAGAGTAACGCGAGGATTTGGTAGTTGGCGTTGTCGCCGAACTTGAGGGATGTTTCTGGCGATGAGCCTGGTGCATTGTGCTGCGGACATTGTGAATGGAGGTATCAATTGAGTTGTTGAATTGGAGATCTTGGACGATGTGTTGAAGAGAAGAATAAATATATGCTCGCCAGTCGACAATTGCAATTCACGAAATGATTACAACGTCACCTGGCTTACTTGCAAATCATGCCACTCCGCCGTGAAGTGCCAGTGGAGGAAATCGGGATATTTGGCGCGGCATCTTGGGGGGTTGGGTGGCGCAAGTGTCATGCCACCGATCTTCAACCTCACTCTACATCATCGTCTTTTTGTTTAAGAAGGATCGATTGCCAGCTTGTGAAGATTGGAATTGGGAGAAACTATTTTATACAAGTTCCCCGTGGAGAGGTAGACGCCAATATACATATCGGGTGGTGTCTCCGAGATACCTATGGACTCCAGAAAGAAGAATATATGGACATATATGAACATATCCCCAGAGCGATATCTTTATATATGTATCTCTCACGGGGATTTCCCTTTTTCATGGATTCCCCTTTTCATGGATGCTCACTATCCATGCGTCGGGAAGGGAGCCGATGGATATTTCGTAGGTATCATTGCTAGAATCAAAGAAATGCAACATCCACTGCGGTCATTGGAGCAATTGAAGGCGTGCTAGCTCCATGTCTCCGAATAATCAAGCGAAATATATCTTGTTGGCGCCCAGGATCCCCATCTTCAAGATCGGAAGGGGATGCCGATGTATACTTCTACCCCACCATGAAATCATGAAGACTAAGACAAACCTTTATCGCAATGAGTCATCTTCGCATGGCTTAGGTTCTGAATATTCTGTTGACTTGTTGAGATCGGTGCATTGCCTTTCATTTCTGCTGCTTCCTTTACAGTCCAAAGGTCTCGGCTCAGTATCATCACTCGGGATCATCTGTCGAGGCCCAGAAATAACATCATGCAAAAGTCTGCCACCGCATCTGTGCAAAATCCAGTTCAAGAGCCATGGCAGTCGGCTGCGACAAGCGTTTCGGAATATCCCACTAGTTATCCCACTGGTCACAATGCAAACTTCGACGAAGAAGCTCCCCGGTCGGCATTTTCCATAGTCGAGCCGCCGGCCGAGCTATCCACACTCACAACTCATCTGACCGGTCATAGTACCGACGACAAATTCCCAGATGGAGGGTTGCAAGCGTGGTGTGTTGTGGCAGGTTCATTCTTTCTCTTGATGAGTACATTCGGTGTGATGAACACGACGGGAATCCTGCAGAATTACTTCGCTTCCCATCAGCTAGCCAGCTATTCGCCGAGTGCAGTCGGCTGGATTCCGGGGCTGTTCACCTTCTTCGGTCTGAGTGTTTCTGTACAGGTTGGGCCGATGTTTGATCGCTATGGACCCAGGGGCATTCTTATAGCTGGCACTCTATGCTATGTGACTGGCCTTGTTCTTCTCGCCGAAAGCCATCTGTACTGGCATTTTGTTCTTACCCTTGGTGTTCTTTCTGGAACCGGTGCTGCCCTCTTGAGCACAGTGGCATTAGCTAGTGTGCCTCAATGGTTCGATCGCAAGGCAGCCCTTGCGATTGGGATTTCGATGTCGGGCGCGGGTCTTGGTGGTGTGATATTTCCGTTTGTGCTAAGAGCCGGATTCACCAACCTTGGATATAAGTGGACAATTCGATTACTGGCATTGTTGATACTGGTGATGTCTGTCCTTGGAACAGCTCTGGTCAAGGCACGTCTTCCAAAGGGCAGAAGTAAATCAACTATCAACTTGCGTTCCTTGCAAGATGCGAGGTTTACCTGGTTGACAATGGGTATCTTTGGTGGGTCGCTTTCAATCGGGAATCCGGATAATAGAAACAAGTACTGACTTGGGGTAGCTCTTGAGCTCGAGGTTTTCGCTGGTCTAGGTCTTTATCCAACCTACGTGGTCATGCAGGGGTTTTCTACCAATACCAGTGTCGTTCTTCTGGCTGTTCTCAACGTGTGAGTGGTAATGTATGTTGGTGGTTTCTCGAGCGAAGCGCTGACTAGTGTGGCATAGAGCATCCACGGCCGGACGACTGATGGCTGGGGGCGTGGCGGATCGGTTTGGCAGAATCAACACCCAGACTGCACTCATTGCTCTGGGTGCATTCGCAGTTTTTGTGGTCTGGCTGCCGTTTGGAAATTCCCTAATAGGGCTTTATATCTTCTCGGTCATCTTCGGATTGGCTTCAGGATCATTCCTAAGTCTTGCGCCAGCCTGCATCGGGCAGATATCTAAGGCAAGCGAGGTTGGCGGCAGGTTCGGGTTGACATATTCGATTGTTAGCATTGCGTAAGTCTTCCAAATCCCGTCAGTAGTAGTAGTTCCTCGCTAATGGGAACTTAGAACACTGATCTGTATCCCCATCGGCGGTGAGATGCTCGACAAAGTCGGGAAGAGAGCCATGGTGGCATATCTGGGAAGTGTTCTGATAGTGTCACTTGGTTTGTTCGTGATGGCCAGATGGGCCTGTCTGAGCTACCGGTGGAGGTGGCAGACAAAGATTTAAGAGACTAGAGAGGAATCTCCTGCATAAAAGTTGATGTTGTATTCCAAGTGGTAATAGCGCTAGCTAACAAATTATCGTGAAAAGAGGTTTGAAAATCATTATAACACTGTTAGTCGAATGTTGAGTTGATTGTAAGGCATATGTCGATGTCTTGAGAACTCGATCCGTTCAGGAAATGCTCGCAACCAAGTGGCAAACCTAGTTCTGTTCACCTCCCTGGGACCTAGTATACTCATCGCTATGACCTGTCAGTGTTGGTCTCGAGTGGGAAAATTCAGGATATCCCCACATATGTTTGTCAAGTTCATTCATATGCTTGCGCTGCTCCTCGACCTTTCGTTTGAGATTCTCAAGTCTACCACCAGGTAAGTTTATATATTGAACTTGATGCAGTGTAACTCACTTCTCCATCTCAACTTGTCGAATGTACATGGCTTCGTGTGCAGCCTCGCGTCTGGCGAAAGAGTCCTTCCTGCCAAAAGTCAGATATGACGTCATCTATTTTGCACTGTGCCACCATACTGGCCCATGAACTCCGACTTGGTAGCACCGGTATCGCCTGCACTCATGATGCTCGGGGTGATAGAGAGGGATCGGAGAAGAGTTGGATTGGTAGTGACACGGAGAATGGGTCGGGAAATTGCTGATTGCATGGTGGTTGGGGGTGTGGGGTGTGGGGTTACGTCGATCAGTGATGGGAAGGGTGTCACACTGTGTGCAATAATGTACTGAGTCGGATTCAGATATTTGATTTTGAATAATTTAGAGATAGTAGAGATGGGAGAGATGTTGGAGATGAAGGTGATGAAGTTCAGACTATTTAAATCAATGACTTCAGAGCCATGTCAGCTGACCATATATGGGTTGATGCGGTCAATTCATGATTGGATAGCATCATCACCCTCGACAAGTCTGGAAACTGCCTATGATATGACAGTCATACCACTCGGACTCTATTCCTTTGCTACGGCCGGTTCAGAGTTGCGACAGTTGGTCACAATGGGCCTCTGTCGTACAATAATCGGCGTCTTTCATGGATATACAAGCCAAAACACTCTAATTGGAATATCAAATCAAATTACAATCTGCTAGAATTCTTCTACAATACATAGCGGAATCCCTTCTGCAGCCGTCTAGCAGCGGAAATATCAATCCCCTCTATATCAGCAGTAGCCTGCAGCCGACGAATATCCTTCTCGGAAAGCTGCATTTCCTCATTTTCCATACGCTCCTGGCGTTTGTTGAGCATGCGCAAGTTGAAGTATAAGAAGAGAGCCGCAAGACCAGCAATTATCTGTAGCGCAATGCAAACACCCATAGCCATGGGGTAGTGTGGTTTCTCTTTGTCGAGGTACGTATAAGGGGTCCAAATTGAAGCGCTATTTCCAATTGAGTTGAAAAATGCAAAGGCTGTTTCGATTAGTTTGATGATCAATAGAACACACTAAGGGGATATGACTTACCGACAGCACGCTTGGCCGGTGGACGAGGAATGGAGCTCGCGAGCCAGGAATAGAGAGTTCCATTCTGGGCGAAGACGAAGACCATCAAGAAGAATGAGAAGTATCGTGGTCCAAAAGAATCGGTTTTCATGAAAATAACGAACCCAATGATGGTGATTGGGATCGGGTAGATGAAGAACCAGAATCTCTTCTCCAATCTATCAGAGGCCATGGAGTGACAAAGAGAATATACAACCATGAAGAGATAGGGGGGCGCCACCAGCACCAGGGTGATGGTTTCCGGCAAGTCGAGAGTCTTGACCAATGTCGGGAAGAAGTTCTGGAAACCCGCCGCTCCGGTGATGCACATATATGCCAAGGCGAATACATATGTCTTGATGTCGGTCATGGCGAGTCTGAACCCCTCAACCTGGCTTCTGCCACCCCCTTCATCCACATCGGCCTGGCCAGCCTCAATGGCAAGACGCCGCTGGGCAACTTTGCGCATCTCGGGGGACAAAAGCTTCCATGTCTCCGGAAAGTCGGGTAGAACGACGCAAATGACCAGTCCGATAGCGCATGTGATAGAACCTTCAATAATATAGAGCCATTGCCATGCGGAAAGTCCTCGGTGGCCTCTGAGGCCGTTGAGAATACCCGCAGCGATGAGATTTCCGAAAGCGCCACTCAGCAGGGAGCCGGAGTAGAAAATACTCATTCGAAACGCCAATTCCTTCTTGGTATACCATTTAGACAGATAGAAGAGAATGGCACAGAAGAAGGGCGCTTCGACCAAACCAAGAATGAATCGGCAGGCCACAATGCCTCCATAGCTTGAGACTTGACTTGTCACCGCCGATACCAGGCCCCAAGCGCAGACGAAGAAACCGATGTACAGGGATGGCCGACCCATGTAGTTTAGGAGCATGTTCGAAGGCACTTGCATGAGAATATATCCAACGAAGAGAATAGAGAGACCGGTTTGGTACTTTGTATCGTCAAGTTTGAGATCTTCTTCGAGACCTTGGAGCTTTGCTGCTGCGTAATTGTTGCTGGTTCTATTAGCGTTGACGAACTGTCATGGACGAGATGAACGTACCGATCGATATAATTCATGAGGTAGACCAGAATAGCCAGTGGCATGATCAGGGCATCAATGCGCTTGCGCAATGCCTTCTCGATAACTTTCTCCTCCTCGGTCAACTCTGCCATATGGACAACTTCCTCATGGCTCAAGTCCATCTTCATCCCCAACTCCGCCTCGGTGATGGCATCTTCAGTTCCGGCCATGGTGCTTGATCAGATGTAAGTAGTATAGAACGGGGACAAGATCCCGGGACCGGCACTCATTTATGTGTGAGAAGCGGCATGTGCCATGTCATATTACAGCTCTGAAGATCGCATTTACCCCGTGAATCCGGAATTCTGGAGAAACGTGGGGGATGGCCCACTCGATTTGCGGGGAAATCCAATTTCGGAAATTCCACGAGAAGATCTGGTGGTATGACAGCGTTGGCGATGACCTCGGGAATGATACGATGAAAGGTGCGGTGGATGACCCCCACGGTGGAGGCATGATCATCATTAGCAGAGATAGGAGGAATATCGGTCCTTGTACTCTTGGTCCGATGGCTTTCGCCAAATCTGGACTTTCAGGACTTCAGCTTGGGCGTTTTCTTCCCCTTGGCTCGGACAAGGTCCGACAAGGTCCGTGACCAGTCTAGCTGCATGGGAAACTTTGTTACTTGGGTTTATTAGAGAAGATATGCGATATCTGGCTGGAAACTCCCATCTTAGTCGGTTTTGTAGAAAGATGTAGCATCGTCTATTCGAGACAAAAGGCTGAACAGCGATGTATTATAAGAATTGCATCCCATTCTCATATGCCGATCACTGCCACCAGTCTTTGATTTTCCAGAGGACTCGCACGTTCTCCGTATGGCTGGAGCTTGGCTGGGGCTTGGCCGGGGTAACTCCTAGACTCCGTCTCGGTATGAGTTTCTCTGTCATATAGGGCTTTCCCCATGAAATTCAATGAGAGAAACAATAAGATCAAGTGATGCATATTTAAATTTGAAATGAGTAGAGACGCACAGATTCTATAGCTATCTGCAAAGAACAAGAAATGAAACATACTCTCTATGTATTTGCATAGGAAGAAAAGAAGGTTTCCAAGTCTAGACATTGAACTTTTGAAAATTCGGAATTCACACCCCCTGAAGGTCCAAACCTCAATCACTGGGCCTTCTTGGATGCCTTGGTTCTCAATTTCATGAGACCGAAGACCAGCGCATACGAGCTGACCACAAACAGGGCCACAATACCGGTGTCCCTCCAGCCATAGAAGTAGTCCATCAGGTTGATGGTGACGAGGTAATCGGATCCACGGGTGTATTGACACACACGGCATTCTTCGGTGGCCTCGGGATTGATGAGATTCATACGGCTGCCAATGGTCTGCATGAAGTCGCTCAGGTATTCACCACAGGTGGTTCCATTGAGTGGATCGAACTTGGCGAATTCTTGCTCCTTGCATTTGACTTCGCGATCGAACAGCCCAAAGACCAACATGCTGCCCATGAGGTAGTTGAATGGGTTGATCCAGTACATCCAGTATCGCCAGAAACTGACGATTTGGGCGTAGGGAACCAGGACGCCACAGAAGGAGATCATTGTCTGAGAAGTGCGGTGTTAGCTGAGATATCAGGAAGAGCGAGAACTTAGAAAACTTACGCCCAGGACGAGAGGGTTTATCATGGCAGCCATCTGGGCGTTTGGTGCATACGCAGCGACAAATTGGCCTAAGTTCATTTGTTAGTTGGGGTCAAGATGAACATGGTCGGTCAGCTTACCGATTCCAGTATAGAGGAACTCGTAGAGGAAAAACACGAAGAACATGCTACCACTCTTACTGGATTCAACTGCCATACCGGCCGTCCAATACCAACAATTGAAGAAGAGAGCAGCACACACAACTAGATATGGGAACTCCGAGAGAATCAAGGCGATAGTGAACGCTTTCCAGGAGTACATCTTGGCTTTCTTCTCGCGTGCCTCGAACAAATCGCGACGTTCAAGGAAGGTCGGCTGCAGTTGATTGATCACGCCGGGAGCGACAAAGATGGCATTGAAGACGAAAAATAACACACTCTGAAGATCGGAGACGGAGTCACCGATCATCCAGAAACTGAATCCCACAAACAATCCTGATGAGATATGGAGGGCGAATTTATTGTTGATGTAGTCGGAATTTCGGTATAAGGCCATTGAGGTACGTTTCAAAACCAGACTGGTCTGCTCCCAGAAACTAGTAGCAAACTCCCGACCATCATCGGTGGTAACTTGCGGCTTCAATGCAGCGGCCTCAATGATCTCGTCAAGCTCCTTGAGCATGGCACTGTGTTCAGGTGACTCCAGCCAGACTTTGTTCCAATCTCTGCCTTGGCTCAGTTGACCCGACACAACATCAATCATGTGCTCCGCGGGATTGGTTTCAGGCGGGCAAGGCGCTCCGTAACGTGAGAAATACCCCTTGATACCCTGTGAATTTTCTCCAATGGGACCGAAGAAAACAGTCTTGCCTCCTTTAGCTAAAAGAAGAAGCTGATCAAACTCGGCGAAAAGCTGTGCAGATGGCTGATGAACGGTGACCAATACAGCCTGGCCAGCATCCGCAAGTCTGCGAAGGAATCTGACAGTATTGTACGCACTCTGGCCATCAAGACCGCTAGTAGGCTCGTCGAGGAAGATTAGAATGCTAGGCTTGGAAACAAGTTCGACTCCGATAGTAACACGCTTGCGTTGTTCGACGCTCAATCCAGCTTCAACAGTACCGATCATGGTATCAGCCAGATCATGGAGCTCGAGCAAGTCGATGATAACATCCACGTAAGCAAGTTTCTCTTCGCGTGGAATGGCAGCAGGTTGGCGCAATAGGGCAGAGAACTCCAATGATTCCCGGACCGTTGCCATACGTTCATGGATGTCTAACTGCTCAACATAGCCTGCTGAGCGTTGGAACGAGAGCGGCAATGGACGACCATCAACCAGAATAGAACCATGAATAGTTCCTTCGGTTTTGCGCTGAGCAAGAACATCAAGTAGAGTTGTCTTACCGGCACCAGAGGAACCCATCAAAGCACCGAGCATACCAGGTTTCACCCATCCATGGACGTTGTCAAGGAGAACACGGTCACCCGTAGGTGTCTGAACTGTGTATGAAAGATCCTTCCATGTAAAGACGGACGTGTTGCGGATTAACTGGTTGTCAAGCTTTGGGGTCTCATCCTTGGTTTCAGAAACTCGCTTCTCTGATCTCTGGCCTTCTTCGTCCTTTTGCTGATTTCTGACATGCTTGTACAAATATTCACGGGGGATGACCAGCGTGCTACCTGAGTCGGAGGGTGACTGCCACCTCGAAGTTGCGACGATCGTGACAAAAACGAACAAAGCCCACCAGGCCCAGTTGATACCCAAGTTACGCCAGATATGCGAGTGGCTGTACGAGAGCGACGCTAGATAGTTGTCGCCAATCACGTAGTTCTGACCTGGGATCGCTCCAGCCACGCCAGCACAAGCTTGATGTGCCTGGACATTCTCGTAGCCGGGGCCATTGGGGATCAGATTCGTTCCAACGCATGGAATCACGCTGTTATCGTGGAATTCTATACTTAATAAAGCCTCAAACCCATAAGCAAGTGGGTCGATCCAGAAGATCCAGCCGAGCCACGGGTGCATTGTAGGCTTTGGGATCATATAACCGGTGTACAGAACAGTACACATGATCAGCAAACCAGAGACCTTGGAAGCTCCATCAAATGTAGAAAATAGAGCCCCCACGGCCCGGAAAAGAGCAGTCATAGTCTATATGTTGATTAGATGAAGAACATGTGAACAAATTGGAAGCTACTTACCATCGTCGTCGTAAACACGATAATCCAGTAGGAGAAGAATGCTCCAGCAGACATTGCGAGTCCAACCATGAAGTAAAGAACCAGACCAAACATGGAAATCTGGAACAGCAACACGGGTATGTCCGCAGCAATTTGAGCAAGACAGAAAGCGGCCGGGTGGAAATAAGCGAAACCCTTGTGCTTGATCAACACAGGTCTTCCAAAGAAAGATTCGTTCACTTCACTCATGGCGAGCAAGCTGTTGTAAAGAAGGGAGAAGAAAAGGGCACCGGATTTGATGAAAAGTCCACCGGAGTTATCGGGGGCATCGTAGAACAGAGAGCCGGCAATCAATGCCTGGCATAGTGTTGCCACCTGCTTGATGATAAATGTAGCTTTGTCGCCCCAAAGGATTTGGTACTGTCGCTGCACGCAGATCTTAACCTGATCCACGAAGCCAACGGTGAAGGGGCTATTTTTGGGCAGGGTTTTGGATGTTTCGAAAGCTACGCCTTTCTTAAACTCCTCAGTCCGCTCGCGGGCGAGCTCGGAGTCCGGGTAAGAGTAATCTGCTATCATTTGAGTATAAATAGGTGATTTTTCATACTCGGCTCTCAACGCCTCGGCGTTACGCGGGAAGCGGCTCTCGAAGCCATCTCGAATTCTGCGCTCGGTGGGTACAGTGACACCAGTGAGGTAATCGGCGACGTTGGAGCCTTCAAGGCAGATAAATCCGGCTTCCTCCATGAATGGTCTGGCTTGCTCCCTGGTGCCGTAGAAGATCTGCTCTCCTTCGTCAAGCACAAGGACTTTATCGAACAGATCGTAAATCCCGTTACCAGCCTGGTAGAGGGTAACGACGGTTGATAGATTGAGTGTGTCGGTCATGGCTCGAATAGCCTTCGTCCATTCAAGGGCAGTAGAGGCGTCAAGGCCACGAGTCGATTGATCCCAGCAGAAGACGGAGCCTCGAGTGGCCATACATTCAATGATAGAGACTCGCTTGCGTTCACCACCGCTCACTCCACGAACGTACTCATTACCGACCTTAGTATCCTCGGTGTGAGAGATTCCGACGGATTCAAGGAGGAACTTTTTCGATGCTTGTTGGTATTCTAAGGCAGTCATACCGTCTGGCAGATGAAAGGGTACCTTGAGGCGCGTGGCGAAGTCCATAGTTTGACCAACTGTCAGGGCTGGGAAGAAGATCTCTTCTTCAGTGTTCATCACAATCTGTCCTCGGAACATTTTAGCCTCTTTGGGCTGCATAGATCCAAAGCGAACTTCGCCCTCCACTGATTTGTAACCTCCTCGTCTATTAGCAAGCATTTTCAACAGTGTCGTGCAGCCAGAGCCTGGGCGGCCCAGCACTAGCAACATTTCACCAGGTTTCACGCAGCCATGGCTCTTGTTGAGGATGGTCCGTAGAGGAGGCTTTTGTCGGCCCTCTCTGATTTTGGTGGGAATATTGAATTGGGAGAGAACAGTCTCATTCACAGCGGCCTCTGAGCTTATTACCTGCACGGAGAGATCCTGCCAGGTGATCCCAAGTTCCTGCTTTCGGAATCCAGCAGCCAGGTTGCGATCGTTCTCCTCCTGGAGCCTCGTTATCATGCTCCAGCCATTGCCTTTTGGACTAGGGCTCTCCGTGCCAGAAGTCTCGTCGCCTGTGATCGTCATGGCATCGGTATCGAATTGGATTTCATCCGACTTTGTGCCCGGTGGTTTTTCGGAAGCATCCATGATGATTGGGAAGAGAAAGGGGGAGAGGCGTTGAAAGAGGCTGATCAGACCATGGAGATACTTGGGGGGACTCCATCATTTTATGAGAGTCTCAGGGGTCCAAGACAGCCCCGAAAGTCCGAGGCCGAAGCAAACATTGCTTTTTATTCGCAGCGTCGAAACTTCTGTGCGGAGCCCCAAGTGATAACAAACATTTCGCTCTAGAGCGCCTGTACTCCGTAAAGAGTCATCAATTGATAACTTAAAATGGATCGGGGGCGCTTTTTGGACCGAAGCCGCTGACTAATCGGCATCTTCGCTCACCCGTGCCTCCGATTGGAGTCTTGGCACGACGCGGTCTCCGTACGCGTGGTAAAGGAATTAAATGTGGTCAAAAGCCGAAGACCGAGGATGATGTTCATTGGATGGGACGGAGATGTCGTAAGAATATGGTATGGGGCTATGTCGACGTATGCCGACGGTATCTCGATAGCCTGGATAGTTAGTTACCCCGTCTCTCCACCAACTTAATGCATGCACTTACAACTTTTGATCTCTGACCGACTTTTGATTTGAAATGGCAACATGAAACATGCTGAGCCATAATCATTATCTGGGCTTGTACTCGGGAGAGGCCGTTTGAGATTTGCTGGAGAGACGATCCATGATAGAAAGGGACTTTGGAGCATCGGGGGATCATGAAGCCTAATAGTATATCCCCTTATTACAACCCCCAAAGTGTTCACCGTTGACCACTGTGGATCACGTTCCCCAAATAGCCAATATTCGTCTGTCAATTATTTTAGCACTCAAATTTCCTGTGTTCGTTGTCGATAACCTACACAGTACGGAGGAGGTGTTACCCCTCTGGGCATACCGCCCACGTGACCCATAGCATAATACATCTATTCCTTCCCCTGAGCCATCAGCGTAACAGTAGGGGGAAATCCTTCTTCACGGGCTCTCGGTGAGGTGAGAAGATGACCAGGAAATGCAGGAAGGAGAACTTGAAGCATTGTTTATCCCGTACGCAAGAATAGCCAAGTGCCTTGACCTCAACGTACATCGCCGGCATGATGTTGGAATCAACCCCAACGATCAGCGAATCCACAGCCTCGTTCTTCAACGCTAATAAGAGACATTGAAAACTGCCGTGCCATGCAAACAACAAAACTAAATGAAAGGAAAAGGAAAGGAAATGAGATGATCCTTACACTCCCCGTGCTAGCACTCCCCCTATCCCGTAATATCTGGGAAATATCGCGGACTTATCGAATACTAATTTCTTCCCCGTCCATACCTGCTTTCGCGAGGCAACAGCATAAAACATCCCTTCGGTGGTCCGTTAGACCTTCTTATGTCGACATTCTCAAATTGGATCCTGTCATACCGCGATAGCAACGCTCTCTAGCGGCCTCAATGAAATTCAAGCGACTTGTGATCCCACGAGGCGACATTGTGCATGCGTCTTGCGAGGAATTTGCGATAAACCCCGGGAGTGAAAATGATGGCTCGATGCAGTTGGCGCACGAGACTGGTGTCGACTGGCAGCTCGGCTTATCCTCTACCGATGATAAGGATGCTGATGCTCATGGTAGCTTTGAGGTAGTAATCGATACTTAGACAACATGATTATTACAATGACCTCAGCTACATACGGTCCAGTCGCAGACTCTGACGGACTCCGAAGATACTCCACCCCATCAACAAATCATGGCTGGGGACCCTGGAGGAAAGCTGAATGATTAGCCGTGAGATATTCTCCGGGTGGGCTTGATGCTTTGATCTGTTGGGATAAGCCAATCGGTGTCCACGACCTACACCTCCAACACAGACCTGGCCTCCTCTATGTTTTGTAAGCGATGGTTTTCCCCGGGACCTTGGAAGGTTCAATCATCAAATATCTGATCACATGTTAGTTGGGTCATATAAATACCTTGTAGTGCCACATTACCTTTTCACCAATGTTCACCTGGAGATATCGCGCAGCTGCAGTCGTGGCCATATTCGCCTTCCTTCTTCGATATCGGACCATATTCATACAAGAGACCTTGACCATACCTAGCACAATGGGAGAGACACTAGCCAGCAAGAATCAAGAATATTGGAAGTGAGTCGTAAAGCGATAGAGAGATTTCCCATGAAAAGACGCACGGAGAGGACCTTGGGAGAAATAATTCTGACTGCTGACCGTGTCTAGCCATGCCTCTCAGCATGTGTTCAAAGACAAATGGATTCAAGATCTACAGACGCAGATTTTCGACTTCCTGACGGACAACGTGGACTGGATAGGCGTTCGGTCTTCCACAGATAGTCGGCAGACAAAATTGATGGATTATGCCTGCGGAAATGGCATTATTTCTCGCGTGAGTCACTGACCTTAGTTTAGCACCTGCAGCAGGCAATACTGACAGTTGCTGTTCTGCTAGTCCCTATACCATCATTTTTCCAGATGTATTGGCGTCGACCTGTCAGATGGCATGCTGGAAAATTACCGTGCAACCGCAACAGAACTAGGCCTCGACGAGTCGCGCATGTTCGCCGTTCAGGGTAATCTCCTGGCTCCCACAATCACACCGACTAGGCCTCCACTCAGCGAGGAGGAGCTGAATGGTTTCGATCTGGTCGCTATTTGTCTGGCATTGCACCATGTCGAAGACATCGCTTTGGCCACCAAACGTCTCGCCGAAAGACTGCGACCGGGTGGTGTACTTCTAATCATTGACTGGGCGACGCGCGATGTGTCGAACGAGACTGAGGAGCAAGCTGTAGTACAGACAACTCCGTCCTCTTCGGAGAACCACCACCATCACCACATGCATGAGCTAGTAGATCCGAAAAATCCTGCAGCGCATACTATCTCGCACGATGGATTTTCACAGAGGCAGATATTCTCCCTCTTCGAACAAGCGGGCTGTGGAGAGTCACAGTTTGTGCTGGCGGATCGACTATCGCCAGTTCCCGGCTCTCATAGTGGGCAGATGCAACTGTTTTGGGCTCGTGCAACCAAACTGTAACATCTCTCTCTTGGTTACATTGTTTCTTTCCTGTTTCTTGTTTATTACTACTCTGCAATACAAGAGATTACTTCATAATCCCATCTACTAGGCAGATAGTACTAAAGCGTGAGGAGGAATTACCGCCAAGTCAGCGTGACAGAAGAAGAAGGACGGTGGTTCTCAGTAGAGGTGAGTTCCGGGCCCACTGTGCTCCCTTTGAGCAAGGGTGCGAGCCGCAGTCGACGGACAGGATGCGCTGAAGTGGGAGTGAACATAGGGTGTGCACGGTAGAGCGAATATTGGACAATACCTGAGGTTACTATGACAAGAATGATCTCTTCGATGTCAAATAGACTGACTCTAAGCCGCTTTAATCCATTATATCCCTCAGGTCCAAATTTCCCTCCTTACAAAGTCACGGGAGGATTAATCGACGCTAATATATCTCCATGGATGAGAAGCTAGATATAGATATTTCTATTTCCCGATCACCAAAAAGGTTTCCTACTCACTCCGACTTGCCCTCGAATCTTTGGCTGGCAATTTTATGAGACAACTCCAACATAGACCTTGCTAGAATCTCCAAAATGGGGACAGTGCAGTCCATGGACCTTGATACCCAGTTGCGCAGCTCCACGGCCACGTGGGAGTCAATTCCATACTCGGAGACCGGATTGGAAGAATTGATATTTTCAATGGGGATAGAGAGATGCGAGGCAATTTTCCTGCTGAGAGCGTCGGAGATTATAACGGTAGCTTGATCCACCGTTTTTGCGGCCGCAAGTTCAACCTTTAATCCTTCCATCGAGTCGTCAAGCGCAGTAGATTTGTCATGGCCCTGGAACTTGTACCGGAAATGGGCAAACAGGGGCACATCAAAGTTCCCAAGTGATTCCATTTCTTTCCATCGGCCGAGGCCCGTTACGAGTTGTGCTGCTCCGCTAGTTGACTGAGAAATTGCAACTTGTATCAGGGATAAAAGAGTTGGTGTATCAGTTCCCTGGAATCCTTGCCGTTCCATCTTTGCCGCTAAATCTCTGTTTTCAGCCAAATGGCCAACATCTGTAATCGTTCCGAGATCCAAAGATACTGTTGGAAGACCTAAATTTCTTCGATAAGCGGCGAATGCATCCATGAAAGTGCTGCCGGCCGCATAGGCAGCCTGTGTGGCATTTCCTATAACGCCGCTTATAGACGATAACATCAAGAAGAAGTCAAGATCGGTAGGGAGATGTCGGTGCAAATTCCAAGTGCCATAATACTTCGGGCCCATGACATCCCGATACTCGTCCAACATCATGTTTTCAATATGAACATCCTTGAGGACCATGGCTGCCTGGATCAGTCCCCGTATTGGAGGCATGCCACAAGAGATATCTTGAAGCATTCGCTGCACTTCGGTCTCGTCGGATATGTCACAAGCTCGAGTAGTTACCTGGATACCTTCTTCCGCCAGATTCTTCACTGTTGCCTGAGAATGAGACTTTGAAAGGCCACTTCGATTGACGAAAATGAGACTCTTCGCTCCGTTTTTTGCCATCCACAGAGCAACCTCCCTCCCAATTCCACCAAGTCCACCAACGAGCATATATGACGCATCTGAGTGGAACAATGGCTGAGTAGCCCTAGGGAGCGTGGCCTAAATCACATTAGCTGGAGGCAAATGGACGTCCTCCGGTGCTTAGGATAAACTATACCTTCACAAGATCACTCTGTTCCACATGAACCACAACATGCTGTCGGGTCTTGATTGCCGTCATTGCCTCTTGAATATGTGAAACATGATATACATCAGTAAAGCCAGGCCCTTTGAGTCGTCCTTCTAGGAACAAGCGAGAGACCTTCGACCACATCTGGTTGGCAAGGTCAGTCCTCTCCTTTTGAAGCCCAAATATATTGATTGTGGACAGGGACATGTTTCGAGGGTGTGATAAGAGCCGGGTCTTGAGGTTGTCTGTTCGAAGTTGAATAAACCGACCAAATGGCGCAATGCAGTTCTGGAGCATTTTATCCTCTGCGCTCTGGAATGTGACTACTACATTCGCTTTCTTGCCATCAGTTGACCGCAACATCCCCTTGGCTATATCTCCCTTCCCGCTTATGAAGACATGCTCCCCAGGTATCCCGAACCTCGAGCTCAGCAAGTCCTTTTCGTCGGGGCCGTTCACTGTCGCAAAGACCCGAGCATCCCTAAGCAGGTACACTTCCAGAAGTGCTTGGCCGAAGTGGCTTCCAGCGTCATGGACAAGAACAACATCATTTGACTCGACCATTGAGAGGTGGTTCACAACATAATAAGCAACGGTATATGCTAGAGGCAAAGCCGAAGCCAGCTGTAATGACATTTCATCATTGATCCGCTGAAAAGCTGATGCCCGATCGTGATAAAAGCTTCTCGCAGTCCCAGCTCCAAGACAAGCAACCCGGTCCCCTATAGTGATGCCGTGGACCTCGGCGCCGACCTTGTATACTATGCCACTGCACTCCAGACCGAGAGTGTCGTCTGTTTCCCAGTCAAGGTGGTCTGTCTGAATATCCCATTTATTCAGACCGAAGGATTGAACTTTGATTCCGATGTAGCCGACTGGGAGTTCTGTCATCTGCGAATCACCAACAAAGCCGGAGTTGTTAGAATTTCTAGAAAGACGGAGAGGTTTTTGAAGCTGATAGAAAGGCTGCTCGAATACAGCCTCAATGTCATTAATGCCGTTCATAGCCATGTTCGCCTTCGAATTCTCTAGTACTCGTGGAATCAGGACTTGCCCATTTCTCTCCGCATATTCCGTGTCTTCATCAGGGGTTTCACGAAGAAATCGGGCAACCAGAAGTTTTGCGATCATCTCAGCGGCTTGAGATTCCGAGAGAGGATTTCGAGCATCCAGGTCAAGGGTGACAATCGGTTTGACACCGGATTCGGCGCGCGCTGTTCTTGCAAACCCAACCGCCAAAGCCGCGGTTGGGTTGACGGGCTCAATCATCCCTCCCTTTGTGACCCAGAGGACTCCTCCACTCTGCGCAAACATTACTTTTATCTTGCTGAATGTAGTTTCATTGGGAGAGGCTAGCAGCGAGGAGTTCGGTGTATCCAAGACCAAACAAATATGATCCTTACACTCCAGATTATCGATGTGTATCACATTCACCTCACATGAAGTATTCTCGAGCGCAGTGACTAGATTCCTGGCAGCCTCGGTTTCGTTTTCGCAAATAATAGATACCTTTCTGGGCGACTTTTGGGCTTTTCGCTTTCTGGCAACGATAAACTGATGGCTCTTCTCGGAGTCTTGTTCCCCATAGGCATCAACCTCGGTGAAATGCGCATCTTGCAGGATTTCATCCCATTGACTCGTTGTCCAACCACCCTGGCCCAAACAAAATTCGTCTGCAGATAAGCAGTGCAAGGCACTGAACAAGAGATTTTTCAGCACATCCTTCTTTGGGTCGAAGGGATTGGTTGCAATCAAATAGCCAGATGGTCTCAAAAGATCACGGATCTTGTTAAGTGCATATTGTTCACAACGAGCAGTACACAATCCATGAGGCAGGATTATGACGTCAAATGAATTTTTTTCAAATCCTTGTTTGGAGAAATCCTTGCCAAGATCCAGGGGCTTGCACTCAACCCATTTTGACCACGCCTCCAGCCGCTTCGAGGTATGCTCCAGCACGGAAGCGCTTTCGTGGGCAAATGTATATTTCCCGCAACAGGCTGTCTCGTTGAGCGTCACAAGATGCTGTAGAATTATCTCCGCTATCTGGCCTGTGCCAACGCCAAGTTCAAGGATGGAGATGTCTGGCTTTCCGTGGCCAATCAAACTGACATACTTTGCAGCTGCTTGATACGAGGCGTCCGCTGAGAATAGATCCCAGAACTCGTCCAAAAGGCGATCGTCCTTGATGACGGTGGAAAAGTCAACTTGGTGTCTAATAATAGCCGCAAGGTTTTGGCCAATGACCGACAGGAGCCTTCCCATAGGGGCGGAATTGATATTTTCCAAGTGAGATAACGATATTGAGGGTTTATCATTTCGTTCAAGCACGTCTTGGAGATAACACCGGAATGTGCGATGAGAAGGATCAAGTCCCATTGCCTCCGTTGTGCTGACTTCCCCTAACGCAGCTCGGATGAAGCCAGCTGCACTCTCATCATGCTCGGCTCGAAGGACTGGCTCTTGAATAGCATCCTCCCTGCCAAATAGAAACGAGGCATTCTTACTGGAAATAAAACTCGGATTGGGTTTCCAGTCAATATGATAGATTGTACGGTTGTCCTTTGTCTGCGACGCGGGTTCATGACGCTCGAGCCGTGCACATCGCAGGCCACGAAGTGAAATGGTTGGCTCGGTTTCAAATTGCGTCGCGTTATAATTCACTGCTACTATGCATGCTGTCACGTCCTTGTTTGGCATCGGGCGCACATGGGTACAGATACTCATGGGTTCTCCTGCCGGGCAGCTGAGACTGGATGATACAATCATCTCTTCAATTGAAACAGGGATTGCAGGTCCTTCCTCAAGCCCCATACCTGGAGGTAGAGCAGCAAAAATGGTGTGGAACATACTATCCAGCGTGCAAGGATGGACCAAAAGCTCATGCTGAAATGATGCTGGCATCACAGATAGTGTATCTGGCACAGTGACTTCTGCAAGGCACGTTCCGTCTTGAGTGACACGTGCTTTTGTGATATTCGCAAAACATGGCCCATATTCCAGACCAGAATTTTGAAGCTTGTCATAGAAATTACGGACGTCAATCACTGATATTCCATGAATTTCAGTTCCCAACGGGACCGTCGCATAACCATCAGTTTCCTCGACTCCGTCGCCTGAAATGCCAATACTTTTCTGTGTCCCGACCAGTCCAGTGCAATGCTCAGTCCACCTGTTATCCTCCGAGATGGAGTATATATGGAAATTGTACAACTGTTCTTGGTCTTGCGTCGTCTTTTGAAGAGACACCATAACCTCGACGCCAGAAGTTTCGTTGAGCACCAGGGCTGCTTGTATTGCCACATCTCGCAGCACGTATCTCGCAAACTTTTCTTCGTCTTTGCTCAACTGTGCTGATGCTTCAATTGCCATGACCAAATACCCTGCGGCAGGGAAAACAATGTTCCCCTGTATCCTGTGATCAAGAAGCCAAGGGAGCTCCGAAGTCCGAAGATAATTTCTCCAGCGAGGCTCGAATGGACATGCCATGTTGTCTGGTGCACCAAGTAAATCCATCCGCGGCGAGGTTCGGTTTCGATACATCTTGCTCAGTCGTGGCTCTGCCCAATATGACCTGGTGTGATTCCAGGCATATGTCGGAAGATCAACCAGTAACTGTAGCGTGCCACTCTTGCTTCTCCCCATGGGCCTGTTGATTGCACTAAATTCAATGGGGCAGTTGAGTGATCCTAGTGTGGCGACTGCTCTGAGGGCTGTAGTAACTGCGTTGGCCTTCCGGGTCAGAATGCTAATATAGGTTATATCGGCAGCATTGAGTTTTGCATCCGCCTGGAGGACCTGCTTGATCGGCCCAGAAAGTGCCGCGTGGGGACCGATCTCGATCAGACAATCCACCGAAGGCTTTCGGGCTGCCCCAGCCTTTCGTATTCGGGAACCCCCTGTATTCCCAGCACGTTGACTATTTGTCTCAAAACACAAAGACCTCAGCGAGTTGGCAAATTTCACTTGTCCAACCAAGTTTGACACCCAATACTGAGCATCCAATTCTTCCAAAGGAATCATCGTTCCAGTGACCGAGGAAAAGAACGACCCCGACCTTCCTCTCTTGTCTCCCGCTATCTGATCCAGTCCTCGGGGCTGGATATGGTCTATCAAGCTGTAATACTTCTCGGCAACCTGTTCTATATGAGGAGAATGATACGCGACACCTACTTCGAGGCGTCGACTAAAAACCTCCTGTTCTTTTAAGGTTTGGGCGAGTGCATCAATTGCAAGTGTATCACCTGATATCGTCACACTCGATGGACTGTTGATGCATGCTACCACCAGCTGTCGGGGCTGGAATCCGTCCAGATAGGGCTGTATCTCTTCGGCAGACATCCCAACTGCCATCATGGCACCTCTGTTCGGTTGGTCATGCAGAAGCTGGCTTGCCACAACGCCTCGGTAGTATGCCAATGACATTGCATCGTCCATTATGAGTGCTCCAGTAGCATATGCAGCGGCGATCTCCCCACTGGAATGACCCGTTACGGAGTCTGGATGTATATTCCACGATTCCAGCAAGTCGACCAGCGCAATTTGTATGGCTGTGCACACTGTTTGGCTGAGACTTGGATGGTTCAAATGGGAGTCCTGGGGACACTTTGTGATCTCCTCTGCATTCATGATGTCAGTGTACGGGACCTTTAGAAGTCTGGTGTCTGTGTACCTTCCACTGTGAAAGGGGCTCCAATGTCATTCAGAAATCTGTCAATACCCGAAATCGACCTTTTGAAGACAGGATAGGCCTGAAGCAGCTCCTTTCCCATCCCAGCCCACTGCGCGCCTTGTCCAGTAAAGACAAACCCAAGGGTTGGCTGTCGTACGGCGCTCCTAGCCTTGATGTTCTGAGAAAGTGAGGCTGCCAAACCTGCCATCGTATCTCCGACAATGGCTGCCTTCCATGGAAAGACAGATCGTCGCTCGTTTATTGTGAAGGCAAGTTCGTCCAGAAACTTTTCATGGTCAACTTCATGTCCCCTATCGAGAATATGATTGCTCAGAGCCTGCATCTGCTGTGCACAGGTTCTTTCATCAAACCCAGAGAGCATGAATATGCGAGATAAACCACGCGGCAGGCTAGGAGGTGTCTCGTTATGATATTTAGTCGCTGTAGATTGGATTATGTCATATTCTTTGAATCCCCAGCTCGATAAGCAGCTTTGGGCATCTTCGACAATAACATGGGCATTGCTTCCCCCGTACCCGAAGCTGTTCACTGAAACTCGACGAGGGCCCGTAGTCGCCCATGGCTCAGGGCGCAATTGAACCTACTGACGTTAGTCTCCAATCTTTAGCTTTCCTGAACATCCAAACCTTGAGTTTCCAATCGTCGAGTGGGATACGCGGGTTAATTGTCTCAAAATTCCTGTTTGGCAAGAACATGCGGTTTTCCAACATTAGCACTGCCTTGATCACACCCGCTACTCCGCTTGCGCCTTCCAAGTGCCCGACGTTGGTTTTGATGGAGCCAATTCGCACAGGATTGTCAGGCGGACGACCAGTTCCAAAGACACGAGCGATTGCCCCGGTCTCAATTGGGTCTCCAGCCAGTGTGCCTGTCCCATGAGCCTCCACAAAATCGGTTTCCGAGGGATCCAGATCAGCCCTTGTATAGACACTCCTGATCAAGCTTTCTTGGGCTGCCCCGTTAGGTAGCGTTATTCCTGCAGTACGCCCGTCCTGATTGGAACCTGTGCCTCGTATCACGGCCCGGATCTTGTCGTGATCGTGTAGAGCCTTGGCCAGGGGTTTGAGGATGAGACAGCCAGCTGCCTCGCCTCGCGCGTAACCACTAGCCTTTTCATCAAAGGTATGGCATCTTCCATCTGAGGAGAGAAACCTGTGACTAAATCAGTCTAGTCTCCCGGTTGCGGGTAATTTCTTGCATACTTCATCATGCTCATCGTTGACATAAATTCGTGACTCAAGATCAAATTGACTCCCGCTGCAATCGCTATTGATGAGTCCCCTGTCTGGAGGCTTTGGCATGCCAAATGAAGTGCCACAAGGCTTCCAGAACAAGCCGTGTCTACCGTGACGCAGGGCCCTTTCAAATCAAAGAAATAAGACAGTCTGTTTGCCGCCATTGCACGCGATTGTCCGGCGTTTGTGCACTGATACATGGGCACACACTCGGGATCCCGAAGTAAGAGATCCGTATAGTCTGCAGAGAAAGACCCTACAAAGCAGGAAGTTTTTGTGCCCATAATTTTGGTCAGGGGAATGCCAGCTATCCACCATCATCAGCCTCGAAAACGTCATTCGGAGCAATAACCTACCATTTTCAAGACCTTCATATGCTACCTCCAAGAGCAATCTCTGCTGTGGATCCATGGCCTGGTAGGTTGATAATTAGATGAGCCCAACAACATTCAACTCTGTACTTACCGCTGCCTCGTCGCTTGTCATGTTGAAAAACGGCGCGTCGAAGACAGATACATCATCTTTCAAAAAGTGACCCCCTTCCACATTGATCTACTCTCACGTTATTAAGTATTCGGATTCATCTCATGCATAACTTACCGTTCCATGGCGGGCATGATCCGGGTGATAGAATGCTGCACTGTTCCACCTCTCAGCTGGAATTGGGCTCCATGCCTCTCTACCCGTGAGAATCATTTCCCACAGCTTCTCGACATTTTTGGCATCCCCTGGTCCCCGGAAGCCAATTCCCACAATTGCTATTGCCAAGTTTGCCGGGTCATCTTGCAAAACGGTCGCTTTGGGGGGTTTGTCGCTGGTTTGTGACGACATAGTTGCGTTTGCTTTGCTGGATGTCGGCTAATAACATATATCTCATACCAGGGAAAAGCGAGAGGGGACTACTCAGGCCAGGTAAATGGGCTTCCTGTATCAAAGCAATCTATCTACTCGATTTCTTAGTGTCATTCGTTCTCGGTGACAATCTACATCGGGATGTGTGGGAAGGTTTCACCCCAGTCGCAACGAGGTAAGTATCCGGGTGCAACCCTCCACGGCGAAACAAAATTCAGGGGTCCTGAATGTCTTGATCTGAAACACATTGTCTGCCTTCGCGAAGAATCTGCAATATACCATTACAACAACAGGTTATGTTCCACAACCGCAAATATACTACTCTCTTCTACAAACAAACTCTTCTTCGCCCAAACTTTACCTCTGTGTCGCACAGCCGAAGTAAAGACCATGCCTTTGGTATCCGACGTCACAAAATTTGACTTGATAGTTTTCGAATTGCAGTGGCGATTATGGCGACATTCTTCCGATCACTGGGGACATCATGGCCCTTCCCATGTACGGCAAATGTCGAATCCCTTCCAGCACAGAGTCGATACAGGGCCATTGAGTATTCAAAGAGTGGGTCTTTAGCTCCAGCGATATGCACGCAGGGGATAGAGATAAACCCCTCCAGTCCCTTGTCTACGATAGGACGCTTCCCAGGTTCCATACGGAACGGTGGGAGAGAATTGATGAAGATTGCGCATCGAAATAGCGCCGGCTCATTTGGATTCATCTTGGCGTGGTGGATCATGAACCCAGCCGCCAATGTGCCGCCATGGGAGAAGCCTAGAACCCCATCAAACGGACCTTCCAAGGCAACTGTTTCACTCAGTTGCTCGTATGCCTCCAGGATGTCGGACTCATCGCTGTCCTCGTGGGAAAAGGTGCGTGGGAAACGGTAGTAGCTGTAGTACGGACCGTCATAGTAACCGGCAATTCCAGGCCCGGGATCTGAATCGACGTCACCTTCGAGGAAAGAGAAGGTCGCGGTGTTGTCGCGTTGGAGCTCATGCATGAGCGCACCTGTTTGATTAGAGTTCTGTGTTTCGCCACTGTAGTAGGCGATTGCATACTCAGTTGTGACTGTAAAATCTATTGGCAAATTAGGATTGCCGTCACCCCTCCCCTATCAGCAGCGTTGGTAGCTTACCTTCTGATTCGTCCCCCAGCCATGGAGACACAACAATCGTAAGGGCATCGTGTTGGGTAGCGATGGATAGATTAAGCAGAGCAAAAGTCGCCGTTATCAGGAATTACTGCTACTTGGCATGGTGATGGTCATGTCTGCCTGCGACATTTTATATCTTGCTTTGTGGAGAACAACCCACGGCGGAAAAGCGATTCAACTCATTCGGCTTCATTTCATCAATATGCACGAGCGACCAGGGGCCCTGAAACTCGCCGCGAAACAGATCAACTTCGGGCTGAACTCGGCGCAGCTGTCTGTGAAACAGACACGTATCGATCTGAATGTGTCAGTATACTCCACATTGTCTACTCGGTGTTGTACCCAATCTAATTGACAATTCTCAAATAAAAGCCCCGACGGTTAATGTTCACCGATATTTCTAAATTGCTCAACGTGTGGGCCAACGCAGGTCCTATTGGTTTTGGCTGCTATCAGAAAATTCGCCGTCTATATAATTTTTTATCCTATTATAGCCTAATAATTAATTGAAGACGCCATCTAGACAACTCGCGCACATCCCCCGGGAGCTTTTATAGTTCAAACAGCACATCCACGCCAGAAACTTGGAAGCTTCGAATGACATTTCCCAATATAACGGGCAACTCTCCGAATTATCACTCTATGTCGATGGCTTTGTTGTTCCTCATAATGCTACTATCCTGACCCGGGCCCTCTCTGGGGGAGCTGAAGGCAGGCCTACAGCTTTGCGCCCCTCGTCCATCCAGCTACCAGTTTCTCCTCGTCCGAGACATTGACCTGGCCCTCTTCACGAGACTCGAACAGGAAGAAGACATCTTCCGATGTTTTGAAGTCATAATTGCCAACCGCACTCACCAACAGGCAGTTGCTTGCAAACAAGCTTCTTGCAATACCGAGCATCTTCGAAATTGTATCGGTGGAGTAAAGAATGGATGTTACATGCTGTCACATGCTAACTAAATGAGGGCTTGCCCTTGCTTAGTCATCTAGTTGGTGTTTGTTTAGTTTGCATAGTGGGGGTTTGCCACTTCTTCCAGTGACGATTGGAATCTCCAGGTCATCTCCACGACTTCATCCAGAATTGAGATTTTTTTTTTTCTATATTTTATATAGTATTTTCACCGGGCCCTATTCTGTCGCTCTTGCTCAGGCTAACCGTGTTTATCATTGGCATGGTAACCCCTATCACCAGAGGATCCGCCACATAGCCTTGGCCTGGGCTTTCATGATTGTTTTACGATTATGAACACCTGTACGGAGTAGACAACTTGTGATTCTTTATAGGGAATATAGGCAAGTAAAGCTATGAGACATATAACCAGATTCAAGATATCTTCCACTAGGCTTGCTCTTTGCGCCTAGACTCTCATTTATGAATATGGGTTGATGGGATACGTATTTTACCATGCGACCGATTCGCAATCTTTCTTTGACCGGGATGCCAAGTACTGCGTATGCAAATCGAGCATTAACTGCCTTGCTTTTATTTTATTGAAGCCGGGTCTGGTCAATTGTGGACAGCAGCCCGGACCACATTCTGGTGCCTCGTCCCTTGGGCAGCGTGGCTTCCATGCGCAGCATACCTCAACAGCGGTATTTCCAAGATCTAAGAACGGGCCTTTTCCAACAGGGAGCGGTCAGAGCTGAGATAAGGGGACTTGGAAGAGCTACTGCGTGTGTTGTACAAGATAGCATGTGGGATAGAGGGGATAGAGGGGGTAGAGGGTCTCGATCACTAGATTAAACCATTGAATCATGTGTAACCGCACAGATTTGCGCCATCCATTTTGACTCCACCGGGTGGCGTGGGCCGTGAGCTATCGGCGATTCGTAATGTTCTGCGTGAATCCCGAGGGTCCAGTGGGTCATGTTTCTATCTATAAATCTGACTTCTAACTGTCTGATTAACCCTTTCCTTTGATTCATATCACAGGGGATAATGGCATCAGATTTGCAAGGGACTTGGATCCTTTTCACTCCACTCTATCTCAGGAGGTGGCTGCGAAGTAGCAGACTACACCCAAGACGTGGGTCAAGATCGACGTTTTAGGCAGATCAAATGCGGCCTAAGGGGTGAAGTCTCTAGGTGTGTGCCAAAGATAAGGACGAAAACAGAAGGAAAGGGCAAGGAACCCATTCACAAAGCATTTATATAAAGTATATATAAGAACATGCACGAACCATACATAAACACTTTAGCCCGGATGGCTCGGTGTCAATACCACTGGACACAACAAGATCGCCACAATATGACCCACACCACCTAGCTGATGCGCAGGTTGTACGTACTCTACGGAGTTCCAATTCTAGAATTGCCGAATGAGAGAGGGGACATGCCAGTGTGCATATATCCATGGATGTGCAGTTGGAGGGTTAAACAGCGGGTGGACTTAGGGTTGAGCCTATAAAGGCCATGGTAGAAGATGTGCATATAAGTCTATGTATTATTATGATTTCATTATCTAGAAGATCTAGACTCCCTGGTTTGAAGTCTTTTTTAACTATTTTAACTATCCAAGACCCGAACTGAAATCCGCATTGAGGGAATTCTTAGATTGGCAATTCCTTGGTTTCGCCATTTGATCCTGTTCTAGCCTTATCAAAAGGAAAAAAAACTCTTCTTTCTTCTTAATCCTACTCTCCTGGTCACCGTTCATCTTTTCATATATTATTCTTTTAACTTGCTTTCTCCCATTCGTTGTGCCTTGTGCCTTGCATAAACGACTTGCAGCTCTCGGATAATCTTTCACCGAGCCACCGAGCTCACCCAAATCCCCCTTCATGTCGGGCATCATCAACCCACACCCAAGCCCAAGTGAAGAATACGCAGAATACCCTCTCCCAATCATTGACAATCCCGGTGATCGTCATAGCCTCGAGCGTGAAGCCACCGTCGATGTCAACCAATACAATGCCGGGATCGAGCCACCCACACGCCGTGGGAGCCGATCCCATCATAGGGTTCGCTTTCGCTCGATGAGTCTTCGCCGAAACGAAAATGACTCCGATCCCCTGTCACGACCGTTACTGCCGCAGTCAGATCTCAACGAAATCCCGCTATCCGGAACCATCACACCGCCAGCCCCGGCCCATTCCCGGCGCGGCTCCAATGTGCATATGCCCGAGTTTGATGAAACCGAGAAACATGATTTCACAGGTAAAATGGACCGGGCGACCTCGGCCCGCGACCGGTTCAGAGCGACCGGTCATCTGTTGCGACAGAAAACTAGCCGCTTGACGGAACGCCTCGGTCGCCCCACGGATGAGGGCGAGCCGCTCAATGCCTCTTACAACCCAGACGACTTCGACAGCGGTATTCCACTCGAGGAGCTGCAGGCCCGCCGCGCCCGCCATGAGGCCGACCGAGCGCACGCATTGGAGAGTGGTGAGAATTTTATCGAGCCGCCCCCTAGCGCCGAGGCTCATCGCTTGGTGCGCAGCATGACCGCGGTTCAGGATCAGCTACGGAAGCGCAAACCTCGGGGCGCATATCAGCGGTCGGGACAGACAACTCCCGAGGGCTTGATCAGCGCCTTTACGCAGCGGAGACGGTCTAGTGGAGTCGGCGGCGGCATTCTGTCGCAGTTGCTCAAGCTTCAGGTCGCCCAGAGCGGGAGCTCTTCGCGCCCGGAAAGTGTCATCACCGATGACTCCGACAGTGACACTCAGGTGTCTTCCAGTATCTCCACCCCGAAGAAGGGTTACATCTCGCCCCTTATCCCTGCGTCTCAGCCAGCCTCTGGTGCCGCCACCCCACGCAAGGAAAAGCTCAAATGGTACAAGAAGTCAGCCCATCGGTCCACCTCGTCGTTGGTCAATGCCTCCATGAACCTCAGCACGGCGAGCCTGCCTGCCGCGGTTGAGGCCGCTCCCGGTATGCAAAAGAAACGGGGGAAGAGCAAGCGCAAGACCCGTCTAGAAGATGAGATCCGTGTTACCGTCCATATCGCAGAAATCATCGCACGTCAGCGGTATATCATGCAGCTGTGCCGTGCGCTTATGCGATACGGTGCGCCGACCCATCGTCTGGAGGAGTATATGCAAATGACCGCCAGGGTCCTGGAAGTTTCGGGCCAATTCTTATATCTGCCCGGTTGCATGATCATGTCCTTTGATGATCCTACTACACGCACGGCCGAAGTCAAGCTTGTACGGATGGTGCAAGGAGTCGACCTTGGTCGCCTTGCTGATACACACAACGTTTACAAGAATGTCGTTCACGATCTTATCGGCGTCGAAGAGGCAACTCAGGAACTAGACGAGATTATGCAGCGCAAGCCCAGATTCAGTAAATGGATCTTGGTCCTGGTTTACGGTTTTGCTAGTGCAGCGGTCGGCCCGTTCGCTTTCAAAGCGCGACCGATCGATATGCCCATCATCTTCTGTCTCGGTTGCATTGTTGGACTGATGCAGCACGTTCTCGCCCCACGGTCAACTCTCTACTCCAACGTCTTTGAGGTTACTGCTGCTATTCTGACTTCCTTCCTCGCCCGCGCATTTGGCAGCATCATGGTTACCCGCAATGGTAAATCCGAACCACTTTTCTGCTTCTCCGCTATGGCACAGTCATCTATCGCTCTGATTCTCCCTGGATTCATGGTCCTTTGTAGCAGTCTGGAGCTGCAATCTCACCAGATCATCGCTGGTTCGATCCGTATGGTGTATTCCATTATCTACTCCCTCTTTTTGGGCTACGGTATTACAGTGGGGACTACGATCTACGGGCTAATGGATGGCAATGCGACATCTGCATCTACGTGTTCAGGCCTGGATGTCTATGGGTCGGTTTATGCACGCACATTCCCCTTCGTGGCTGTCTACGCTATTTTCCTAGCCATTGTGAACCATGGAAAATTAAAGCAGATGCCCGTCATGGTTTTCATCGCTTTGTCCGGGTACGTCGCCAACTATTTCAGCACGACCAAACTCGGCGCCCAATCGGAAGTCGCCAACACCGTCGGTGCATTCACTATTGGTGTGCTAGGCAATCTGTACAGTCGGCTCTGGCATGGCCATGCCGCCACCGCCATTCTTCCTGGTATATTTGTGCTGGTCCCCTCTGGCCTTGCTTCTAGTGGCTCTCTGATTGCGGGCATCAAATACGCCGACGAGGTTCGTCAGAACCTTGAAAATAATGGGACTAGTTCATATTCCAGCTCTCTCTCTGAAACTTCAGTTGCCAGTCTTGGTTTCGGCATGATCCAAGTCGCGATCGGTATCACAGTCGGGCTGTTTATCGCGGCTTTGGTTGTCTACCCCTACGGCAAAAAGCGCACCGGTCTGTTCAGCTTCTAGTTAGTTATTTGCATTTTTCACCATTTTCCTGTTCTATATGTGTCATGATTCTGCCTTTTTCTTTTTTTTCTTCTCGGGGTTATCAGCGAAAATTTAGCGTTTGGGATTTACTCTGCATTTCATAGACTTACAACTTATACGGGAGCGTCATTGAGCGATATCATTTTAGACATGATCAACAATAATACACGATTCACAGGACTTTGCCAAGATGCCAAAAACCGTGTATATCTGATAGTAGAAATATGGTGGATTCTTCTCGCCTTGTGTTGGAGCTTTATGGCCGTAGTGAAACATCGCAACGGTCGAAAAACCCCGAATATCCGCAAAACTGAACTCGCCGTACAACAATAGCAGAGACGATGTACCATGCGAAGAATCCTGGCTATATTCCAAGCCTGCTGATTAAGAAGCTCGGGGCGACTGGCTGCTATGGAATCGACGTAGGTGTGAGTAAACAAGATCCCATGGAGTAGAGGGTGTGAAGATGGCAAATCGTGTTCTTTTGTGGCAGCTTAGGATCGGAGAGCTCGAAATGCGTCAAACACTCTCTCTGCCTTTCTCTTACGAAGGGTTTCGAACACTTTCAATATCCAGACCTGCTTGGAAGCGCAAGCAGCATGATATTACCTTCGTCTCATGTGCTACCCTCGACTATACTATTCATGATTTATTTGGTGAATCTCTCACTTTTTCATCACTTGTTCTTTATTTTTCTATTTAGTTAATTTGATATCAGGCAACAATCTCCCTCTCCAATGAGATTGTTATCATTTATTATCATCTATTGAATTCTCATTGTCCTTCTGGTGAATCAGAGATGGTTTTGTTGTGCCCTTATTGATACCCTATGTCATCTTCCTGCACAATAAGGACAATGGCTATTCAAATACGCAGTGCCTATAATCTCATGGTATAAAATCATACAAGATTGCTGTATCCTCTCTTCATGTTCACCTCTCTCTTCGTATCCCCCACACAAGACAACATGGATACCAGCGGGAGTGAGTACGAGCAGCCCTTATTGGTGAGTCTCAACCCAATGTCCACTGACCTACGTGCACAATCTGACTCAAGACAGCCTTCGAGCATAAGGAAGAGAAAGCGCTCAGCTGAGCATGATTCCTCGCGGGTGAGCCCTGACCTTCCCTTGAACCAGTCGATATTCTATGAAACTAACATTTCCCATCCAGGCGAGGAAGAAGCGCAAGCCAGCGCTCGATGACCTCCACAAGCTGCTGGTGACCTACCACGGCTTGCAGCAAATGCAACGGGAGCTGAACGAGCAGCTTGCCGTGTGCAACCGCCAAATTGCCAAGCATAAGTTTGGCAGTGCCTCGGGCAAGTCTCGCCGTCGTCGTGGCCGCGGCCGCCCATACCCACGAGTGAAGTCCCCACTGCGTGGGGTACTCAGGGTGGAGGAAGATATGCCCACGTTCTGGGGGCGCGTGGGAGAATGGTTGCGGAGGTGGTGGTGAATGGGGGAAGATTGGGTGGTTCTCGCTGGCGAGACCCCCAAAGATGGAGGAGTATATAGCATGGTGAAGGGATGTCAATGCATTAACTGGCCAATCTAATGACTCTAATGACAGCTTCAAGAGTCAAGACTGAAAAAATAATGACCAGATCACATACATGTTGACAATATATATCTCGGTCACTTGTATGAATTTTACGACCTAACAAAACCAAAACCAAAACCAAAACCAAGAATACAAAATCAAAGTAGAATATAGGTATAAACTTAGGGGATTGTTAACGGGACACCCCCCTTGGATAATCCGACACCCCCCTGCCTGATTTTTTGGGATTCGGCTTACCGCCCTCCACACCGCCTTAGTCTCGAACCTCATAATAATAGGAAGACAATTGGTACCTACAATTCGTATGTAAACTCCTAACAAAATTAAGTCACTTCTGTCCCATTATACTCTATTAATAGGAATCGTAGGACTAAACTAATTGATAATCTCTGTAAAGGTATACGTTATGCAGGTGTAAGGCCTGTCAACCGGGTAAGATACAAAGGGCTTTGTGGAGGGAACACAATGTATTGATGATGTGCTAAGACTAATTCTTGCCAGTCTCGAGGGGCCCCTGGGGGGTCCTAAACTATAAGGAAATCTATCTGCCTATTGTTACGTGCCAGGTTCTTTCTAACAGAAGAAGTGCATTGCTAATCGAATATCAAGTATGAAGAAGGAAAAGGAAAGAAAAAAAACGTAAAACAACAATGGGGTCTTTATACCCCTTCGGAGGCAAAGCCCTATCCTCGTTTATCCCAGAAGGAAAGTACGACTGTCTGCGCAAACGAGTTCCCTCGAACAGGAAGGAACGACCAACGGTACAATCCCGAACGGGAAAGTATGAGTCCCGCAAGTGCCAATCGTGACATAAAGCTAAAGTATAGGATTAATATACCGAAGGTTTAAAGGCTAAAGAAGTAAGTTCCACCACTTTACCGCCTTCTTGTAAATCGGGTCTCAGTACATACAATCTAACTTATAAAGGAGGTTTACACAAGATATCTACCAGAAGGGAAAGATAAGCCACTAATTCACCCTATCTGTGACTATAACTCGAAGAATACTTCTGGATTTCCATATATTCACATTATTGAGGAGTATAACGATAAGAATAAGTCACTTGAACCAGACCTTTTCCATTAGCATTAGCACTTATATAGTATTAATGACGCTCCACTAATTGACCCCTCCCTTCTAGTACAGGACCCCCTTCGTGCACGTCGACGAGGACGACCCCGAGGAGCATGTAACTTCGGGAGTACACAGGCTATCTAATCTACCGGTTCAATGCAATAAACAATCTCGGTCGCAGAGCCGACAATATGCAGCTATTGAATCTTGGGTATAGTGACTGCAGTATTCAAGTCCCACATGACATGAAAAATTCACAAAACATCAGTACCGTCGGGTCTCATCGAATAACTGTCCTTCATATAAGCCGTGTCCTGCATATCCGACCATACCTCGAACAACGAGGACAGGGAACACTTCATCCACCCTGGAAAATCCTCATATAGATCTACCTCCAACGCCTCGATGAGTTTCACATAATGACGTCTCTCCTCTTCGTATTTCGAGTTCTCCGGAAGGGGAGCGTTTTGTAACGTTTGGAAACTTTCTTCGTCAATGATAATAAACATACGATACCCAGGAAATACATCGAGTATACCACGCTTAATTGCGTCGGCCCTGAAATGCTCGCGGAGCTGGTCGATCGATGCTCCATCGAACTGGGAAGTATCTTCAATGACCTGTGGCTGGTAATTAGGCCACATTTCATCCTAGGGAGTGATGTTGAACTCATTTGCATTGGATCTTTCGCGAAGGGATGGTTCGTATTCCCCGTAGAATCCGTTCTTCATGTACTTCGTGGTGAGGTCGACCATACGCGGGAAAGCGGCATTAGATTGGGGAGTGTAGGTCGTCCGGTAGATTGTATAGCCCCAGGTGGGCTCAGAGTAATGGAGCCAGTCATAGATGTTACGAATGGACCATGGAAGCCAAGGGTATTGCTTTAGCGGCTTTCGAAGTAGCGACATGATGGGTCGACTTAGGATGTTGCGATGGTTCAGAGGTGAGTTGAGGACGGAAAAAAGCTCAGCCTCATTGGAACCTTGGAAGGATCGCTTTATAGTTCAGAGTGCCACTAGACCCAAATCGGCCGTATATCACCCCTAAACTTAGCAACATGGTATCTAAAAATAAAAATAAAAAATAGTTTCCCTGGGAATCGAACCCAGAACCTTTCCGGAACATCAGCTAATGGCATTTGTTAACGGAAAATCATAACCGCTAGACCAGGAAACTGTTATATGAAATTACTTGAAAACTGATGTTATATGAAGATATCCATATAAAATATAAACGCAACTCCCCTTTTATTGTGTCTTCATCTTAGATCCAAATGTCTTGAGAAAACAGCCTTGGAACCCCGGAAGAAGTATGAAGGAACAAACAAAGCTGCCGAAGATAAACATCGAACTTCATTGAAAGTAGATGTATGCATTCATTAATCAACAATGAATGCATCGCCCCCTACCTCCAATGATAAAAGATAGCCAAAGTCTACCTATTCAAGTCCTGACTTAACAGCCAACAGGCAAAGCCTTGGTCTGAGAAGCCTCCTCGAACAGCTTCACTTCATCAGCCCGCCGGCGCGTCAGCCCAGCAACAACCGCCCCATTGGCTTTATTCCACTTGGGCAATTCCTCAGATGCCACAGTCTCCACATTCTCACCGGCATTCATGCGGCTGACTAGACTGGATGACTGCATGTTCCCGACGCCGACGTTGAACGTCCACGAAACGAGCGCCGCGTACTGGTTGTCGTTCAGAGTAACCGCGGTGGCAAGGGCGTTTGTTACGCCATTTTGGTAGGTCTATTTTCCGGGTTAGTACATTCATTAGATACCTACATAGTGGGGTTTTAGGGAGGAAGAGTGCTTGTAGAGACTTACCACTAGGTCTTTGGCAAGCAATTGGCTCGCTGTATCCTCGGTCAATGGCTTGGAGAATGTCACTTCCGAGCAAGTGGAGTCGCTGCAGAGATGGCCGTAGCCGATGGTGGGATTGCCGTAGCCATCATCGTACACGTTTGCTTGGAAGGATTCAAAGCTCTTGATTAGATCAAGGCCGTTGGTGTTGACAGCAGGACCGGTGCAGGCAGCAAATGCCAGGGCTGGGAGGGTGGCAAGCAGGAGCTTGAACGACATGCTGGCGTTTGGGAGTTGAACTTGTGGAATTATGATCCAGTGGGTTTGGGGAGGTTATGCATTTGAGCAGCAGATGTTGATGATTTATATATTTCATCTTGTCTAGTGCTGTACTGTTTATTTCCGATCAGCTCGCAAAATGCCGCCAACTCTGGAATCCTTTATGTAGATCGTAGGTATACATACATCGTAGGGTTACAGTGACTTCCTCAGCTTCCCGTGTTTCAAGACCCCGAAAGACCCAAAGCCACCCGAGTGACTCTCGTGCGGGCTGGCGTACTTTTACTGGCTTGCCGGATTACAGCCTCGGTACTTCCTATCTACTTATATTAATTGGGATCGTCACGCCAGACTAGTGCGTTTTTTATATGTCGTCATCACCCCACAGCATCCAATCTCCAATTCTTCTTTTTTTACCGTACTGCCGTCTTTCAGGGTCCTATGTTACATTTTGATTAACCAGCAGATTTATATCAAGTGGCGTGCCCTAATTAGGAAATTGATGTAGGGAAGGCGTTTTTATACCTAAATTACCCCACAATGACATTTGAGTACCCATTTACTCGTTTGAATACGGCCTCTGTCTATGTGGTATTTTCAGATGTAGATCTTTTTTAGATACTGCTTTTTTTTGAGGTAGACGGCAGAAAAAGCATTGTGAAGACTTTTCTATGTATAACCTTCGACATAGATCATTAGCTTCCGCGATGCAGATGACTAGGAGATTAGAGCAAAGACTAGAGCAATCTATAAGGGTCGATAGAGTAAATTAAGGCTAGGAAGCTGTCATGGTAGGGCTACAAATTAAGTTGGTAATTTCATATCTAAACCGAAGGCACTGATGTTGAGAATATTGACAGAATACGGCAACAAGGATTCACCCGAGTGACCTTCTGGAATTCTCCATTTAAGTCGTGACCTATGAATCAACCATTTTGTGAGAAGCGAAACCTAGGCTTGTTTCAACCCACCTCATCTATCAGATTCCAAGACAAGTTCGTTGAGCCAAACCTAACCTGTTTCTAAGATGATGGCCGCAGAAACCCTTTGTTTCTTTGATATTCTAGATGGTTTAATACCTACTTTCTATGTGTTTATCTGGCAATTCCAAAAAGAGGTGACTTCTACCATCGTCGATCTATGCGCCCCATGTTTTCAAGAAATCACAGAAAGATTATATCATCTACTTGGGCCAGGCATATAGATAATAATCCAACCACCAACCGGAGCCGTAGTAGTTCTGTTGGAAATTGGGCCGAGATGACATATGACACTTTCCCATTTGTTCACTTCTGCTTTCTTTCAAAGGGACTCTTGACCCTCTAGTGCTTCTCAAATATCTCGTCTATGACCGGAAATAAAAGAAGAAAGAAGAAAATCCATTTGGGAACAAAGCGAAGAGCTGGTTTGCAAATAACAGACGGGAAGAAACAGATATCCTTGCAGTGGCGTATCCAGCGCCCCTTTTAAACAAAGAAAAGTATCTCCGGGATCAGCCCTGTATCATTTAAAATCATTACGAGTTTGAAAGAAACCAAACCGTCTTGATCTCACCACGGTTTTAGATAGCTTCTACGCTTCCATGGCAGTTGCTTCTTTCTTACCATATCTCCAGAAATTTCGAAATCCCCTCAACCATGTCTAGTAAAGCCGACAAAAGAGTTCTGAAGGAAGTTGCCAAGCCGGTGGTGAAATCCCCCATCAAGACTGTGAGATCTTTATTCCAAAGCCCGACTAGGAATTCTGACCTAAACCTCAGCAGATGGATGTTAGGGGTGGAATCGCATACAAGAAGAAGAAGAAGAAGAAGAAGGAAAATGATTAAAATGATCAAAATGATCAAAAGGGAGAATGGAGAGATTCCTTGGTGGGTGGAAGATGAGGAAGACTCTGTCAAACCGGCTCTAACATTTGAAGAGCAACAAAAATGTATTGAGCTGAAGGATGCGCTTGAAATCTGCTGGACTAATATCCGTTCTCTCCGAAATGATCGACAGTTCCTGAACGGATGTTACGAATGCTGGCCCGAACTCCCCTTGGCCCAATGGGAACTTGAACTCAACCATCAAACGTTACAGTGTGAATCTTGGGCAGCATACTATTGCAACAAAACCAGAAGAAGCAGGTGTGAAAGCTTATCTCAAGAGCAAAAAAAGATGTCATTGAGAGCTTAAAAGGTTGGGTTGTTCAAGATGACTTCGACAGAACGGTCTCACAGCCCCCGCCTAACATACGGTACAACATTCTGCGTGTCTTTGCATCGATGATCATTATCAAAGATTGCATGAGACTATTCTGGTCAAACCCTTTCTAGTATTTGGATGCCGATTGTGAATTCCTGAACAGCGAAGGCCCCTTTCGGCACTCACCTACATACTATGCACAAGAAGTTTCTGAAAGGTGACCTACTCCTTGAATATGTGATCTTTTTATGAAGCTTCAAAGCTAACACGGCGTTTTTTTCTTTTTTCTTTTCGCGGAGCCACAGCTTGCTCACCACTGGCGGGCGCAGACAATACGCCTTGCTAATGTCAGATACAGCACCATGTTAATGAAACGCGATCCTACCTTTGGGCTCGCAAATGAGGCCCTTATGAAAGCCAAGGCCTATCAGTTCGCTGCCGCTAAACTAGATGAAATGCGCTTCTTGATATAGCCAAATTTTGTGCAAATTTCAGCCTCTTGGTGCCATGGTCTAGTGGTATGACGACACATTGTGGTACAGCAATGATCTGTGTTAGCCCCGGTTCGATTCCGGGTGGCGCCATTCTTATTTTTTTTCTTCCCTTTTCTCTCTCACTTTTACCAAATAGTAGACCAGTCAAAACCGATTTTCTGCTGTAGTGTAATAATCTAAGAGAAGGAAAAGCCATAAACCTAAGAATATATCAGCTTTACTTGATGTAGCCAAAATTTGTCGCCATTTCATCTTTCCGGTGCCATGGTCTAGTGGTATGACGACACATTGTGGTACAGCAATGATCTGTGTTAGCCCCAGTTCGATTCCGGGTGGCGCCAATTTTTTTTTCTAACCTCCACACTAGCACAGAGTATCACCTCATGTCACTCATGGATGAATTTGTTTGCAGGACTTTGTTAAAGATTATGGTGTTCAGACCGCCTTCGGGCTGTTTTGGGCTGTCTTATTGGCTTATTGTCTCCTACCGCCTACGGGTAGTTCTGCCCGCCATACCCCATCAAAATCCGTACTCCTTTCCCCCTCATTTCTCTATACAACATTGTATATTGCATGGAATCATCAGTGAACGATGTGATGATGTCTGGTTAATATATGACTTTCGACCTGGAAAAGCTTACAAAAAAGAAGCCTTACCTAATAATTACTCGGCCCTGGTCTGTCTTCTATGATCATGGGGAAAAGAATAAAAAAAAAGAATGGCGCCACCCGGAATCGAACCGGGGCTAACACAGATCATTGCTGTACCACAATGTGTCGTCATACCACTAGACCATGGCACCTATATGATGAGTAAGCTGTTCTATTTACATACTATAGGACGATTTTATAAAAGAGACGAGTATACTAACTCGGAAGGACTGATTGCTATGAGTCAGGCTTATAGTGCGGGTGAGCTAAAGGATACGATGTGGATAGCACGAGTTGATACGCGGGTATGAGCAGGATCCTGTCCATGTAACCTTATACTGAGCCGGGCTGCAACGTCTATTTATGTCTATATATCTGCACTCTCAATCGCACCAAAGTGAATACGTAATTCCAGTCTAGTCTGCCTCATGTGCTTTATAATCAACCAAATCAGAATTGAAGATACGCAGAGTCTGAATTCACTCGGTCTACGGTGTATCCAATGATAAATAGATGAAACGAGTCGTTGAATGAATCCCCAGTCTTTGGGAGCTCATATATAGGCGTGCAGATACGTAGGCGACCTCGGGACGTCGATCACAGAGAGCCAGCCCACACTATTTTTCAGTGTCGTCTAGACAAGGGGCAGATTTGTCAGATAGAAGCTGACGGCCAATATCGTATGCGGCGGTAAATCAATACTAAGGGCTGTGAACGACATACCAACGGACAAAGTCCCCCCAGAGAGCCGATGGGATCCCAGCATCTCGTAGTAATTCCGCAAGTCTTGCCGTGTCCTCTATCCCCGGGCCTTGTGTAAGAATTACGTGTCGTCAATGAATATATCCGATGGGAATTAGTATATCAGCTTCATCTAAAGGGTAAGCCTAGTATAGCGTATTATACTTGCGCTCCATCGTCATCTGCAGTGGTAACTCAGTGGTAGAGTGTGAGATGTATGTATCTTCGCTTCCAAAGCGACTAATCGCCTCAATACTAACATCATCCTAAGTGCAAATCTCGAAGTCCCGCGTTCAAGTCGCGGTCATTGCTTTCTTTTTGCTATTTATTTCCAAGACTGGTGAAGCAAATGAAGCAAATAAGGTAGAATTTACTCCGTACTTACTGGGTCTAATTAATTCCCTATATCTCAGATCAAGATCCACACTCTGACTGGTTAAAAATACTCACCAGGGTAGCTTACTTACCCCTACGTGCACCATCAAGCATATGGATTATGTCCCAATCGATCTTGGACTATTGCCGACATGCTGACAGGATACTGCGACGTAAAACTTGTACAGAAAACAGAAACGCGACGTCTAGACACTATGTGCAAGTTGGCTCCATCACGGCAGCACATTTCCGTGGTCAAGCAGTCTCGCATGACAAACGGCTAGATGGTATGGTGACGGTGGGCTTAGGCCTTGGGGAGGTTGCGCGGTGTCCCAGCACATTTGAACAAGATATCAAAATCGCTGCCATCAACTCGCCGGTCAGTCTTAAAACTCCAGGAGACTGCGGAGGGAGCTCTCGAGAACTCGACTTCTAAATACGGGAGGAAACACCTACCACTTGCATCATATACAAGCATTAACCAATGAATGAAACGCAACTCTCAAAGGGGCTGGCTCGTCTTGAAAAGCTTGGCCTATGCGACCAGCACCACTCA